TTAATGGACTAACCGCGTGGTACGGTTTCATTGCGCATGCTAAACCATAAATGATGACGTCATTGTTTTTCGCTGATAGCCACTATTTATTAGGAAGAACAAGAGAAATACGCTCAAGGGGGAGAGCGGTGAGCAGATAGTGAGTTGTAGTATCAGGATATAAAGAACGCTTGAGTAGGAGTTCATTCGCAAGCAAGTGGTGTATAATCAAGATTTAAACGGTAATATTACGTCATCAAAGATTGACAAAGTACGTAGTGAAGTTAGAAGTATTTATATTAAAGTGACTTCAACATGAATTTTTTAAATACAGCAATATTTGATGAAGAGGTCTGTACATAACATATATCACGTGTGCGAGTTTCTAGGTCATTCACATAATCCGTTTTTTTTCAGAATTATCAATTTTATTTAACAAAAAAAAAATACTTCAAATAAAAAGCGTTTAAATGCTTTTAATATCTCAAATTAGGCTAAGAATCGCATTGTGTTTAATTCTAAGTATATTTTATATTACATTCATGAAATTTTCCTTTCTAATTTATAATTCATTCTTAAGAATAAATATGCGAGACATAGCTTAAATAAATAAGTACGAATCTTAAATATATCTGATTGTTTTTGCGAATTATTTCCCCTTGTAATTGCGTTGAGGATACTCTTCCCTTGTAAGTGCCGTAGTTGGTCTTGTAAGATTTTATGATTTCAGGTTTCTGGATCTTATCGGTGTTTCTTTAACTGTATACTAATAAATGATTTCAAAAATAATGATCTTCAAAAAAGATGCTTAAACGTATTACCTACGAACTATTATACAAATGGTATGTACAAATATTTCATGTTTATGTTGTTTATTATTGTTCGTACATTTTCAGATATGAGGAGAAACTTGAATATTGTAAAAATCTGGGTATCAAGAAATCTTACATTACAGGAACTGGGCTGGGATTTACAATGCTCGTCATGTTCTCAGCATACGCCCTAGCTTTCTGGTAAGTACAATATCGGGACCAAAAACCCAGGTTTGTAACGATTCGCCACGAATACGAATAGTATTTCGGCGTTGAGAGAGAGAGCACAGAATGTTTAGAGCTCGTGCAGCTTTTATTTTCTGTCGAAAAATCAATTATACTGGTTTTTCAATCTATGTATTCAGTCACACATTTTATTTGAAATGGCCAACAGGTCTTCTTTAATAACAGCGTCCCGAGACTATTTATAATACGTTAGTTTGGTTCGTATCTAAATACATGTATACAAGCTTTACTAGTTTAGATATGGAGAGTGGACCGATATATTAGAGGTATCGATATATTAGAGGTATCGATATATTTTCCTATTGTTTTATGTATTTTGTGGTGGGCAAAAGTCATTTGAGTGAGCGAGGATTATATAAATGGACCCCGTCATGAAAGACGAAGTAATGTTTTTGCGACCGAGCTGGATCCAGACCAGCCTGCGCATGCCCGCAGTCGATCAGATCCATGCTGTTCGCTATCGTTTCTCTACTTGTAATAGCTTTGTAAGCGAACAGCATGATCCTATCAGACTGCGCGATGCGCAGCGTCTGGATCCCACGCTGGCCAACACATTAGAGAGAGTAATTGTCTGGCCATCGGTCACAAACCATGTGTAATAATATAGAAAAGCTGAGGCCCTTGAATAAATGATGACTTATCACCAGTGAATAATATATTCATCACAAATGTGATTCTCATGTGATTCTCATGCGTGTCATATTAAGACTATGGTTTACAAACTCTCTAATGCGTACTGTAATATATTTCATACATGTAGCCTTGTTCCAATTTTTAATATTTTGAATGTTATTTAAAATCAGTTAGGACCCAAGAGATTTCATGAAATAACTATTTAACACGACGATCGCGTACATGTAAGAGGGGCGTTTTGGAATAAAATTATACAATTGAAATGAGTCAAAATTAATAAATGGAAACACAAAATATTATCTTGGGTAACAGATAACAATGATTGCTGTTATTTTTAGGTATAGGGCATCGAGAACATATAGATTAATACCGAGGTGGAAATATGGACAAGAGGGACAGTTTTTAACGGTAAAAATAAATATAAGATAAAAATGAATTAAACTAATAAATAATGAGGAATGAATAAAATTGTAAATAAATGACAACACATTAGGATCGACTTTCTGTTATTGTATGAACAGGATGACATACACCTTTAAAGACAATTAAATTAAAGGTTTTTCATAATGCGTAGAAAGGAGTCAACAGAATGATTCAGCTACAGGACTTAAGGAAAAATATTATTAGTCTTTCATATAATTACATCTCAGGTAAACTATTGAATAAGAATATTGTTAATAATAGTAAGAAACTTATATTTGCGATAAAAATGTAAGTCTGAGAGTAATATGTGCATCGAAACTTACGTATATATATTGAATAGTATATTGTTATAGGTATAAATGTGGGACTATAACTTGTATTACTTAAATCTTTAAAAAATTCCTCCAGAATGTGAAGGTAATTGCGCATAAAGCAATGATAACTATCGTATTAGGAGATATGATTAGCTATTTGATTGTTATAGGTTCATCTATAACAAAGAGAGTAGAGTAGGAGGCAATCTCCCAAGTCACTATACTACAAGGATTTCCAATGTGTATTGGGGGCAAACGTAACATGATTTATATCCCATATACAATAACGATAATTAAAGAGGAAACACGCATTGGTTTAATCATAAATAAATGGAGATGGCACTGTGAATTTTATTATGCTAATATCAGATGTTCTGTAAACTGTCAATCACGTTCACTAATAAAACGAAGGGTCAGGTAGCATTGGAACAGAAGGGTCTGATGTAGGAATATGATTAAGAATCAGAGAATCTAAAATAAAACTAGCACAGATATAGGTGGGAGCACTAAGGACAACATCACACTGGACCTGACGCGTTACAGATAACGCCGCATCATGCGGCTGAGATCTTATGCATAGATTATTGAAAAGCGGACTATTTACTTTTATAGTACCAAGATTATTGAGCCACTTTGAGATCAACCCCTTTTTAATTTCTGATGGCTAGTTAGCTCGCTAAACAATAAGATATGATCAAATATTCTTTGCATATTGTTAAGCGGTTTTATTCTTATGTGGGTTATAAGTTCATTAATCACAACATACCTACAATAATTGTGTATTGTAATTATAACATTCAACAACTATTTTTCAGGTGTTTTTCTGTGTGCTGATAGGCACGTTTTCCATTGGAAATATAACTCCCCATTTAACAGCAATTGCAGGGGCGAAAGGAGCCGCCGCCGTACTTATAGATATAATTGATAACGTAAATACATCTTTTCTTGAATACTCTTTTTTTTAGTGTTCATCATTACATATGATAAGTAAACCATATGTATTATTCCTCTCACCGAATCTGAATAATTCTTTTCTGGATTTGGGGATGGAGTCAGGTAGGTGAGGGTAGACGGGGGCGGGGTTGGTGGCGGTAATTGGGAAATACTCCTTCTTATACAATGCAGTTAGTTTTTATGACCTTTAATGGCCATATTATCATCAAGAACTGGTACGTGATAAATTTAAGAACTGTCATGGAATTCATTAGCAGGGAATGTACATAGTTAACTGTAAATTATTGTTCTCTATTGTGGTAGCCAGATACCTTTGCTTGTTTGTTAGCGCTAAGTGGCTGTGACTCTTCGTATCTAGTATAAACTAATGAACTCATTGTGTTTCATACATTGTCGATTAACTTTGATTCTCTGAAATATTGAAATTATAATAAAATTTGAAAAAAGTTCTTAAATTACGGACTGTCATATGTGATCAGTAATTGAGTAGTATTTCATCTTTTAAATCTTTATTCTCTTGATATGATAAACACGATTCTTACTCTATTTTATCCTTTTTTACGATTTTTTGACAGTGTTCATTTAAAACAAGTGTTTTCAAAAAAGCGAAAAACTCATAGAAAATTAAAAAAGTTCTCTTTTTTTAAAATATCTTTAAAGACTTTATTTTTAAATTTTAAAGGGTCCGGAAAAAAAAATTTCCCAAACTCACGGACGGGAGGTTGCAGGAAATCAGGAAAAATAGAATTTAAAGAGTGATTTTACCCCACCGACCCGAAAAAATGTCCCCGGGGGGGAAAGTATTTTAATTAAAATACAGTAACAAAAGTTCTAAAGTCCCCTTGCAATGTTCCTGTTCTGTTTTGGGGATAGGGATAAAAAGTGTGGCTCTAACATTTACAAAGCAATTTGTTTTTTTTAGATATCAATAACTTTGAAACTGGTAGTTTCACCAATTTGAAATATCTTCTTTAAAGTATTATTGTCTGTATAAAACATTGACATTTAGTTACTAAACATAATATTAATTATTATGGTTGGCTGAGACAGAATAAGAATGGTATATGTTCTTGTATGTTTTGTTGCGCCATCATGGTTTGATAGTTATATACATTTTTGATAGGTTATATGGCCCAATATAAACGGTTGTTTGAACGTATTACACGAGCCGTTAGGCGATGTTTATATTTTGCTAATAATTGTTTATATATGGCCCATATCTTGTCAGGAATATTAACAACGAATTTATTATACTGCAAACTTTGATTTTTAAAGAAAGAAAGGTGAGATTTCTTTACGGTAATTCAATGAAAAGCGACGTTACAAACGTTCGATATTATAAAGATTATATATAAACGTCACAATAATCCAGTTAAAAGCGACGTAACGAACGCTTAATATTATAACGATTATTTATAATATCGAACGTTTGTAAGTCTCTTTTGATTGGATAATAGTGACGTTTATATAGTTTTATATACACGATAATCCAATGAAAAACGACGTTACAAACATTCAGTGTATAAACGTCACAATTATCCAATGAAAAACGACGTTACAAACGTACAATTTTATAAAGATTATAATAATTTATATAAACGTCGCGATTATCCAATTAAAGCGACGTTACAAACATTCAGTATGGTAAATATCGATGAATGTATTTCAGGTTCTGAAAAGTTTTAACATGAATGTAAGATCTGGTGAGACGGTTGCTTTAGTTGGTCCAAGCGGTTGTGGCAAGTCAACAGCTGTGAATCTTGTACAACGATTTTATGATCCTGACAGAGGGAGTGTAAGTTGATATATATTTGTATCAGCACAATTTATATCGTATTTAAGTGCTTCCGTCAGTCAACTGTATTCCTATCCCTATCTAGAACTATAGGAAATAGCTAAGTCAAATAACTGGTCAAAATCCTTGTAAAGGCAATGCCCATTAGGGAGTTTTAGACCTGCCATTTACCGCTGTGGGTTCAAATCCCGACAGGGATATTTAATTCTTTCCTGTGAGGAAGCTATCGCAGCTAGCTAAATAGAACGTCGGATGGTTACTACTTTCAGCTGAATTTGAACATGCACGTATGTGGAACCTGAAAGTCATCCTCAAACAGTAAACCCTGGAAAGTCGCCATATGACCTAATATCTGTGGTTATATGCGACATATCAACGCCAAAGAAAATCAATGGCAGTAAAATCTCTTGTGAAAATCAGAATTCAGTATTCATTTTTTTTTTTTTTTTTTTTTTTTTTTTTTTTTTGTTAGTCTACCATTGAACAGTGTCGTAAGAATGTATATCTGTGAAAGAAAATTATTTCAAAATGACTAACATGACATGACAATCCTGTTCAAAATGAAACAGTTATTATCTGAATTATAAGTCTAAAATATATATGAATCAAAATCGCAGTTTATTATTGATACCGTGATTTTTTAAGGTTTCAATTGATGGTCGGGACATTCGCGGATTGAACTTGAAAAGTCTACGTAACAAAATCGGCGTTGTCTCTCAGGAGCCTATCCTGTTTGGCATATCAATTAAAGAGAACATACTGCTAGGACAACCCAATGCCAGATACGAGGAAGTTGTACGGGCGGCGAAAGAGTCCAACTGTCATGATTTCATAATGGCATTACCTCAGGTATGTATTTACAATTTATATTTATATAACTTGTATCAATATTGTTTTGTTAATGACTATTTCTTCAAGCGGTCTTTAGCTAATGTAAATTGGGCAAAGCATGCTAATTAGCAGGGGCGCGGGGCGAATAGCCGAGATTTAGTTACTAAAACGGCGGGGGCGCTGAGCGAAAACACGCTAATAAGCGGGGGCGCGGAGTGAAAAGGCGAGCTTTTGTAGAACAATTTGGCGGGGGCGCGAACAACAACACACTAATTAGCGACCTATAACAATAAATAGTTTGCTTCCCGACCCGCCCTACTACAACTCAATCTCGACTTGTCGTCCTGATTATTTGCTATTTTTCGACTTTTTGCTCGGTGGGGTCACGGGGTGAAAATACAAAATGGCACAAATCGAAACAAACGTCACTTTCATGTTAAAAAAACTCCCGGGACGCTGTATAACAGTGATAAAATATGATTATTGAAATACTCAGATTTAAAATACAGGAAAAACGACAACAACAAGTGAAGGCCACTTAAAGATTACAAAAGTTTCGTTATGCTTTTTTTAGATTTAATTGCGCAAAAATCAAATGTGATATTTAATTTAGCAGTTTTGTTCTTCTGAATTCCATTTCCATTTCAAATTAGATTTCAAGTTATGTAATAGAACAACAAATGCTTTACCATTATACATGTACAATGTATCTACACATTATTGATGGTTCATCTCTTAGATTACGAAAAAAACAACAACATTTTCTGCCTTCGTTTTTAAAGGGCTATGACACTTTGGTCGGAGAAAGAGGTGCCCAACTATCAGGCGGCCAGAAACAGAGAGTTGCAATTGCTAGAGCGCTCATCAGAGACCCGAAGATATTACTTCTGGATGAGGCGACATCAGCACTATGAACACAAGGTAATCGACCAAAGCGAAATGAGTCGTGCAGATGATTAGAATAAGGTATAGTCTCTATACATTACAAATATGATTCCTTGGCCCGCAACGGATGGGACTTTTTCAGTCCTTTACCAGTGTAAAATAGAATATAGGCGCCGCCTTTTATCTCTCAAATTTTAGGTTAATTTCAAGCAATAAAAAATGCCGTGTGTTGCTTTGCGTAAACCAGGTCAACTTTATAGTGACTATGTTATATTGTATCATAGTTTGTGAACCGTTCCGTTGAAAATGTGTCGATTGGCTCATTTTCTTTCTTGGGTTTACTTACTGTGACGGCAGAGAAAGGGATAACAATACAAATATCATATTCAGATGCTCGTTCATTTAATTTTTTTCTGTGGTCAACAGGGAACGTGTTTTTACTTTTGCTACATAAGAGAAAAAATATCAAAAGACTCGGAAATCTGATTTATTCTCGCGGCTACACCCCTCTAGTACAAATCAGATTGCCTTGTGCTTCAATGCTCTTTATATTATTGATAATGTATCAATTCGTGATAAAAATCATAGATCATGTTCAAGTCAAGTTCATTTGAAAATACATGTATTATTACTTGTTGTTGAAAAAATCAAAAACCCATCTCCAACAACAACAACAACAACAACAACAACAACAACAACAACAAAACGAACACACACACACACACACAAACAAAACCAACAGAAACATCCATGCTTGAGATATACACATATATATTATATTCTTAAAAATGTATTTGAGATAGCCTGTGATGAAAAATAAATAATTCATTTTGAACCATAATGTAATATTCACAACATTTATCTAACATCACAAGGCGAGACAAGGACGCACAACAATTGTGATCGCACATCGTTTATCAACAATACAAAATGCTGACGTCATTAACGTTGTACAAGATGGCGTCATTGTTGAGTCAGGAAAACACTCGGATCTCATGCAAAAACATGGTGTTTATCATCAGTTGGTAACAGTTCAGATGCTGATTGAAGAAGATGAAGATGTGAATGAAGATGATATCGCCGGTAAGTTTTTTTTTTTAATGTAACGGTAAATTTTACGTCACGTTTCTTGACACCAAGAAAGCGTTCTATACTTGTTTACAGTTTTACAATAAAGATTACATTTATAATGTATTCGTATTCATTTTAATTTGATTGTGTTGGAAACTATATATTACTATACTGCTTATTGTTACACTCTCAAATATGTTCCTGGAACCATTCAGTACCAAGCAATGAGTGTATAATGTGTTGCTCACGGAAACATTGGCTTGCCTATCACTTTGTTTAAACTCACGAGCCCGGCAATCTTTAGATTTCTAGTTGTTTGTTATACAAGGTTTCAGTGTCTATTCTAGGATTCGAAAAACGGGGGGGGGGGGGGATTTTTATCCAAAAGTGAGAATTTATTACATTTGTTGATCTTTTTCCTTCTTTGTCTATGTAACATTTCCCCCCTGCCTCTGAAAAAATAGGGGGGAATTCTTAAAAATATGGGTGAATCCCCCCATCCCCCCTCCTAGAATAGACACTGTAGTTTTCTATTTACTACTTTAAATTTTAGTGATATGCGATGTATGATTTTAATTGTACAATGTTTTTAAAAATAATTTTAGAAGGTGAAGACATGGTACCAAATGGTAGCCCAAGAAAAAGGACCATTTCAGAGAATAAGCAGCTTAAAAAGTCCACATCAAGACAGATTTCTAAGCAGATCTCAAAACCCGGTGCTATCGATGAGGAAAAGGACAAAGAAGAAGAGGTAGATGCCTCAAACTCTTTAGTTTGATTTGGCCAGTGTAGTGTGTAGAGGGTTCAAGATTGTAGTTGAATTTACCATCGTAAACAATCAAGAAGTTTAATAAAAAATATCTTTCGTAATGCTAAGATTTAACGTGTTGGTGTGTCTTTGAAGTTGCTTTTTTTAGATTAAATTATAACTTTAAGTAGTACGAGAGATATTCTTCTAATCATGGTTTGTTTTTGTTACCTTTAGTTACAAAAAAAATTACCCCAACCCATTTACTTTCTATTATGTTTATGCAATTAATTATGAATAATTAATGATGAAGTATTTTGACTTTCTTACAATACATGTACGTCCGTATCTTTACATTTTGCTATGATCTTTATCACAAACTGGTTTAAATTCAGCGCATTCATCGTCATATGATAAACAAATAACATGTTCTACAATACTATAAAAATGGCTGTTATTTCTAAACAGAGGAAAACATAATACTCATAATACTCATTCATAAGGCTTGATGAGCCTTTAGATTATTGTATCATTTTATACACAGGTTGAGACTGCACCAGGAGCTAAATTCTGCCCAATGTTACAAGAAAACAAGCCGGAATTGCCGTTTATACTGATCGGATGTATGGCAGCCGCTGTAAATGGTTGTACTATGCCGGCTTTTGCTATATTCTTTAGTGAAATGATCAAAGTATGTATTCTTCCAATTTCATTTCATTATAAAATAATGATTATTTGATACATTTGCTTTATTTGTTATAAAATTATTCATGTGATTGTTGTTAGAAATTGATCGTGCTATGTTAAGGTTTTAAAGGCTGAACAATTAGAGATGCATATAGGTACCTGCATTTAATAACCACGGCTACTTTTTAAACAAACATTTTACATTTTACTATCGGCAATCCTATAAAGATGAATCCTACCATGGAATCAGTGCACATCCGACCTAAGAATAAGTGCATATCCGACTTTAGAATCAGTGCATATGCGACCTTAGAATCAGTACACATCCGATCTCAGAATCAGTGCATCCGCCCTTAGAATCAGTGCACGTACGACCTCAGAATCAGTGCACATCTGACCTTAGAATCAGTGCACATCCGACATCAGAATCAGTGCATACGCGACCTAAGGATAAGTGCACATCCGACCTTAATATCAGTGCATACGCGACTATAGAATCAGTGCATATATGCGACTTTTGAATCAGTGCATACGCGACTTAAGAATAAGTGCATATCGATCCAAAAATCAGTATATATCACATAAGAATTGCCCATGTGACCTCAGAATCAGTGTACATCCAACCTTAGAATCAGTACATACGCGACTTTAGAATCAGTGCATATGCGACTTTTGAATCAGTGCATACGCGACCTAAGAATAAGTGCACATCCAACGGCAGAATCAATGCCAATATGACCTCAGAATCAGTGCACACCCCACCTAAGAATCAATGTATACGCGACCTAAGAATAAGTGCACATCCGATCAAAAAATCAGTATAATTATATGACATAAAAATTGTACCGTATACGACCTCCTAATTGGTGTATAATCTTTAACAAAATTGGGTGTAAACGGCCTGAAATATAGATGTATATAACTTCACATAAGTGTTTATGATCTCAGAATATGTGTGATGACCTAAAACAATATTTTTGTAGGCGTACACATTGAATTGTATAGGTTTGAAAGACATGTTGCAGTGACGTCGTTTATGCACTGTGATGTTGAACATTATTTAAAGTTTAAGCGATTCAGAAATACTTTATCTATTTCAGGTATTTATGAACAACTACTCGGACAGTTTGTTGTGGAGCATGATGTTTCTTGCTCTTGGTGGTGTTCAGTTTATAACTAATTTCCTACAGGTATTCATTGTATTATACGTCATAACAACCATTTGACAAAACACACGGTTATAAATCTTTTCCTTGGATAATACAAAATTTATTCTTGTTTGATTGTGTAGGAAGTTATAAGCTTATAGACACACTTTCGGATACGTTCCTGGAACCAACCAGTACTTAGTTATGAGTGTAAAGTTTCGATCTCATGGGAACGAGGACTTGCCCTTGACGGATTTTATCCCATTTGGCTAGCGATCGTAAAATTAATCTGAACATGTATTAAACCCATCGTCACATCGCTGTGTTTCAAGAAGCCATCCAGTTAGCTCAATAGGAACATTGTTGGTCCTTAAACTGTGTGCCCCAGGTTCAATTCCCGGACGATGCAGTTCACCTTCATTTTGATTGATCATGTAATCTTTCTAGCATCACTCGCACTGTAACTCTGCTCTGGCATGTAAATAAATTGTAATATCCTTGCGAAAAAGAAGGCAGCTAGCACTGGCAAACTGCTTGACAGCAGTTCAGGAACAACACGTTGTTCTAACGAATTCAAAGTAGTTTACTGCCGTGATCCTGAGGGTAAATAAGCAACAACGACATTCTTTCAAAGTAGATATGTGTGTGTTCACCACGTACTTTTACTATTGTCTTTTTTTCTATCCCAATTGCAAATAATCTTTGTATGAAATAAATATAAATATATGGATGATTTACGAGTAATTTATAAACTTAATCTTATGTTTCAGTCGGTTTGTTTTGGTCATTCCGGAGAAAGATTAACATTTCGTTTACGTTTGAAGACTTTCCGTGCATTTATGAGACAGGATATGTCGTATTTTGATGACCCTAAACATTCCACAGGAGCCCTGACCACAAGATTGGCTACAGATGCGTCACAAGTTAAAAATGTAAGTGCGAGAATCATACTAAGGGAGACAAATAAGTATTGTATTAATTGAACTGTAAGAGCAGTAGTTTCCCTTTTTGTCAAATTAAAGCCATATTTACTCGAATGCAGCAACCAAGAATTAAGCAATTAACTTTGCGATGTGTCTTTTGCGTATTTTCCTTAATATAGTAAGATTCTCAAGCGAGAAGATAACTTGCAAGAATTTAAACGTAAAATATCGTTATAGTTCCCTTGCGAGACTTTACTTTGATAAGAACAAACTTCAAAATGTAAAGTTAATTACGGTGTCCTGTTCAGGTGTAATTAAATGTCGCCTGTTGGCATGCATCACGTAGACCTTTTCACCTTATCTATTTAATTATAACGGCTACATAAAAAAGTTTTAAAAAAACTCGCTGGTAAACAGGCGACATTTTAATTTGCTCTAAAAGGACGTGTAAATAAACTTTTATTTAAATTCTTTCCTCTCGCAACAATTGTTTTATCATTTGCTTTCTTTTTTCCTCGTTTTTTGAACTATTTATTTTGTAATGCTAGGCAACAGGTATCCGTATAGCAACAATGATACAGTCTCTGTTTGGTCTTGTCGCTGCATTGGTTATAGCTTTTATCTATGGATGGAAACTTGCATTCGTGGTCCTTGCTGGCGTTCCTTTAATGGCTTTGGCAGGTAAGAAATACACTGCAATGCTATTTTATTATAAAATCATTTCTAAGTGACTATTACTAAATTTGAGGCCAAAATTGTGAAACAAAAAGCAAGCATAAATACATTTATTTTTGTATAATAAATCGGATGACGACTGTCGTATCAAAGATATATGTGATTTCTCAAATCAAATTTGTTTCTGTTACCATATATTATTGATCTTGGGATTGATGCGATACAATTGTAACTCTTTACTTTTTAAAAAAGGAGATGCAACCCTATTGCATCAAACTCACTTGGTGATGCTTTTATTACAGGTGCTTTACAGTTAAGATTTGTAATGGGAAACCACAAAAAAGATAACGTTGATCTTGAAGCAGCAGGGAAGGTAGGGTTTTGTGTTGCAATATTATCGTGTTTTTTTTTCATTTATGATATCATTGAAACATTAATCAATATATTTGATATGTATTTCTCTTGAAAAAAAACGGTTTTAATTATCTATGTAATGTATGTACTGATTTTATGTAATTAATTAATTATGTAATTAATTGATAAATAATACACCTTAGTTTTATCACTTGTATTCCATATGTCCTATAGGACATAAGAATTGCCTTTAAACTACTAGTATTATTTTTAAAAGTGTTACACAAGTGTTGTCAATTATCAACGAAAAACAAATTAAATTAATGAAAAATGATTGTACATATTTTTTCTAAGTAACAAACTTAAGGCAGATAAAAATGACAAGGTTAATCAAGCGTCAGGGGATAAAAAAATTAAGGACCTGGTGTTAAAACTGACAATTTAATTATAATTGTAGACAGCAAGTGAGGCCATAGAAAATATAAGGACTGTGCAGTCTTTGACAAGAGAACCGGATTTCTTCCATAAATATGCTACTTCTTTGAATAAGCCATACAGGTAAGGAAAAATACTAAATTTATTTTCTGTAACATGTACTATTGTAATTGTTTTTTTTTATAAACATGTTCATTCTTATCAAGAGTAAAAGTCATTTTATATTTATTTGTTATACAAATTGTTTTATTTCATAAGATTAATACTCTTTTTATCAGAAATGCATAATTGCTCAAGAAAGTTTATTGAAGACTTTTATCAATCGGTAATAAAAATATTAGGTTTAAAACCCCCCAAAAATCTAATCCAGTTATGTTTGTAAGCAAGAGCAAGGTGTTATATACGGTACGAGCGTTTTTCATTATTTTGTAACAGTACATGTATTGAAGCAAGTGTTTTTTTTTCAGGACCAATATCAAAGCGGCGCAGCTTACTGGATTAACTCTTGGTTTTTCACAAGGCATTGTGTTCATGATATATGCCGGAGCATTCCGATTTGGTGCTTACATGGTGACAACAGGGGACATGACTCCTGACAATGTGTTTAAGTAAGACTGGTAGTTTTATGTTTGCTTGAAAGTTTTTTGAATGTTGATAGTGACTGGCAGGGATCAAAGCTTCCCCTAATTACATTAATGATTACATTAATAATTTCATTAATAATTACACTAATACACATAGGTGTTAGACTATGCTATTTGTTTATAAACATGCTGAAAAACATCCTATAAGGTTAAATGAAACTTTCTTTTGGGAATTTGAATTCAAAAATATGTATGACAGTTGGCTTAAATACCTTTTTTAAAAAAAACAAAGAAATAAATGTACATAAATGCATACATACATACATACATACATACATACATACATATGTACGTTCCAAACAATCATAGACAGAAAAACAAACATATAAAGAAACATGTATAAACATACAGACAAGCTAAACAAACTCACACACAAACCATTATGCTGATTCATTGCAGTGTTTGCCAAGATGCAAATGATAAATGAATATGTCTTACAGAAAATTCAACAACTGATAAAATACCAAGATATTCCAATATTTTCTAAATTAAAATGTAACAAATGGTTCATGTTAAACAACTTTTTTCAGAGTGTTCTTTGCCATTTCTATGACTGGTATTGTGATTGGACAAAGTAGCTCTTTTCTGCCAGATTACAGTAAAGCGGCCACTGCAGGTGGTCTCATATTTAAAACTTTAGATACTATTCCACTCATCGATGTTTTCTCAAAACGAGGGCAATACTTAGTGAGTATACTTTCTTTTTATGCATTTACACAATTTTTTTAGATTATTTGATTTAAGCATTACACCGAATGAGTAAGTTGTAACATTTTCCCATTCTATAGCAATTGCGGTCACTTCATTGCCAATATTATGAAGGTATCAACATGAAACGTGAAGCATTTATGATGACAAAGAACATTTGTTAGAGAAGGGCCATTCACTTAAAAGCAATATTTTCAGGAATTATTACCTTTTTGAAATAAGAATGTTTGTCAAATAATCCTCAAAAGTAGACAGATTTCAATAATCCAAATTTGGATGAATGTTTCATCATAACAAGGTGCATTTGTAAGACAATAGCATATTTTATTTTTTGACTTGTTATTTTTGTTAAAGTTGCATATTATGAAAAAATGTCATCAACATGAAACTCGGAAACTTGATTATCATGATAAAAACATCTTATGATAAGAGCCATTATCCCTGACGCATTACTTTTAGCTTGTGGATATTTATAAAAATTTGCTTTTCACAATTGAGCGTAAATATTGGTGCACTTGTTATTACATGTATAAATGTCAGTCTAATACACTTGTTATTATAAAGATAAAAGTTCATTTTATTTTCAGTTCAGTACACTTGTTGTTATTCATTTCAGTCTAACATATCTGGACGTGTACAAATAAGAAACGTAACCTTTAATTATCCAATGCGACCAGACGTGCCAGTGTTAAAAGGTATTAATATAGACGTAGAACCAGGGCAAACTGTGCACTAGTAGGTCCGAGTGGATGTGGCAAATCCACGGTTGTGTCTCTTCTACAACGATTTTATGATCCGCAAGATGGGAGCATAGTGAGTAATTTACATTGACGTTTTCTGACAAATAAAAAATATCTCCCTCATGTGAACGTTTTCTTAAGTTTACAAGTTGTTGTAGGCGTAGAATTTGCTGGGTCTTTATCGAAATTATTATTCCTCAATATATCATTCAATTCTAATACCCATACATCTGTAAAACGTTCCCATCGAATCTCACATTCATAGATTCATAGAGATTATTTGCTCGTGTGATATAACTCACATCTTTACATGCCTACAATAATTTATTAAGTTTAATTCCATGGGCTTGCTTATTATATCTTCAGTTAGTATTTAAATAGACAAACAACAGCTCTTTTTGTGTATAATGGTTTTAATAAATTCGTTTGCAGGTATTTCTTGTTGTTCTATTGCTTTGATTCGTGTTAAAGTAACACTTGAAAAAGCTTTTGGGGGATGCATAGTGGATACTGCAATCACTTGAACTGGCACTCATATTTACCAGAGAAAGGCTCGTTGTGCCTCGTAGGCATTTGTCATAACAGTTGTCTTGATTTAAAAAGTATTTACCAATCATGATTGTCTCATAACAATTGAACTATGAAGTTGTTGTTGTTTTGTTCCAGAGTGTTGATGGCATAGATATAAAAGATATCAATCTCATTAGATTGAGACATCTTATCAGCGTTGTAAGTCGGGAAAGCCAGTTTTAAATTTTGATTGTAGTTTTAAACGAAAATTATTACTTTAAGGGTTTTGACATTTAAAAAAAAGGGGAGGTTTGGGCCCCCAATCCCCACAGCACTTTTCAGAAAACATAAAATGACTTTTATTTTTAATTTACCTTTTCGGTACGATATTATTTTTTTTTAAAATTTTAAAACAGCTTAAAATTGTTCAGTTAAAATACTTCACCCGAAATTGAAAAAAATGTAAAATTGACAAAAAAATACACAATTTTTATAAATTTTAAATTTAAAAAGTTGAAAAATGAATAAAAATCCCAAAATTTAAAAAAAAAAAAAAAAAAAAAAAAAACCCCCCTTTCCCTAAGAAAATTTTTCAATGTTAAACAAAAAGGAAAAAAAAATTTTTTAATAAGTTTGTTTTAAAATTTTTTTAAAAAATTTTTTTAAAAAATAGTTTTAACAAACCCCGAGAAAGAAAAATTGATAAAATTTTTAATTTAAAATTTTTGAAAAATTTGTTTTAAAACCACAAAAATTCTTTTTAAATTAAAAAACATTTTGGACTTCTGTTCTGGTTATTTTTTAACAATTTGAAAAATTTTATAGAAAAAAAATTTTAAATAAATTTTAATTTTTTAAACCATAAAAAAAAAGGAAAGTTGTAAAACAAAAACAGGATGGGTTAAGACTTAAGAAAAATTTTTGAAAAAACTTCTTTAAAATGAGAACCATTTTTAAATTGAAAATTTTTGAAATTTAAAAAACCAAAAATTTGAAAATTTTTTGGCAACATGCTATTGAAATAAATTTGCCATTTGCATAAAAAAAATTGGGTTGCTTTTTACTTCTTTTTTAAAAATTTTAAAGGAAACCCAACATTTTCCCAAAAAACAAATTTTCTTAAAAACCAAAAATTTTATTTCTTTTCCCCTTTTTTGGGACTGTCATAGAGATATAGAGATAAAGTAGAGATTGTGTTTGCCTTTTTTAAGAAATTTCTGTTTTTCATTTCTGAAACATAATGTGCCTTTTATAATTTGTTTAGACTGAAAGATTGTTGCATATGAATGAATTATTGTACTTCATGAATGAAAATTTAAGGACTGATGTATATAATGTAAATGTCTATGATGACGTTATGTATTGTGAAATAAAAATGATAACTTGTATAAAAGGTACGTTATTTATTTATTTTAGGTTGTACAAGCGGCGTTGGACAATGCCACAAGAAGGGGGTGAGAACGTGTTTTAGTAGTAATTGCCCATTAGGACTATCAAACTATACAAAAATGCGGATGTTTATATATGTTATAGACGCTGGTAAAAGTTGTCGAGTCCGGCAACCATCAACATTTATTGAACAAAAAAGGATGTGTTACGCCCACATTGGTGTCAGGGCAACAGTTGTCAAAATAATGTTAACTGCAAGACTTTTATTTTTAGGATAGATTTTACTAAGTAAATATAAAATGATAATGATTTATACGTATTGTTTGCATAACATACTATCAGAGGTTTGTAACGAACACAAAAACAATGTACCATTATAATTTCTCTGGATTTGTGAGAGACATTTATTGTTTGATATCTATAGTCAAAGCATTATATGTGTTTCAGGAAAAAAAATATATTCATATTTGTAAATGCTTTCATTTTTTTTAAAGTGTTTTTTTCTTTTGAAAATTTTGATTATTGTAAAAATTGTTTATATGCTGTTGTTTTAAAAAAAATTTAAAAAATAAATGAAATTTGGACAAAAAGTTTCGTTTTGAAATGTGTTTGTTTGAGTTTACATTATTTAATTTCCCAAATATTTGGGCCCCCCCTTACGGGGGATAAAAAGGGAACTTAAAATTTTACCAAAAAAAGGTGAGATATTAACTTTAAAACCCCCTGTTTGCAAAATTTTAAAAAACTTTACATAACGGTAATCAAGTTATGGCCACTTTTTGTGTAGTGGCAACATATAGGGATCAGTTCTCCGTCGTCTGTATGTCTTACTGTCCGTCCGGCTGTCAGTCCGTCACAAAACTTGTCCGAACTACTCCTCAGAAACTACTGTTGCAATTGTTTCCAAACTTTACAGGAATTATCAAGTTTTGTACATATCGTCGGCATTTTCCGATTCTGATCAATAATTTTTGTCTGAGTTATGGCCCTTTAATCATTTTTATTTTCAAAGTTTGTCCGGACTACTTTTCTTATACCACTGTAGCAATTTCAAACGAGATTTAACAGGATTATTAGCTCAAGAACTTGGCATAAATTTCAAGGCTTTTTCCCGCTTCAATGACTTTTGGCAGAGTTATGGCCTTTGAATAAAAAGGTGTTTTTGGGTGTTGTCAGCTGCCACAGAAATCTTGGTGCCAACTACTTCTTTGTAAACTACTTGGTGCCATTTCATCCAAACTTCATAGAATTATAAGAAAAAATAAAATTATAAGTACAAAGTCCAGTTTTGTACATATTCATCGACTTTTCTTGTTCAATAATTTTCGTTATAAAGTAATCGTTCTTTCAATTGGTTTAATTTATCAAAGTTTGTCTCTAAACGATACCCTCTTAAATACTAATGCAATTTCATTGGAACTTTATAGGATTGATTGGTTAGGTTACGTACATGCGCATAGTACCACGGTTTAGTCTACTAGAATGAATTTTGGGGGCCCTTCAATAAAAAGATGTTTTTTTTATTGAATCTCCTGCAAACAGAAAGCTGGCCACATGGGGATTTGGGTTTTCATGGGGGCGGGTTAAAAAAAAACACCGAAGGTCCTGTCTGAAAAATTTTGAAACCCAAAAAATTTTTTTTATTGAAAAAAGGCCGGGAAACAAAAGGGTTTTAGCCCCTAAGCTGCCCGGAAATTAGGGGGGTTTTTAATTGAAAAGGCCAAAAAGAAAATTTTAAATCATTTGTAGGTTGCCCCCAAAAATTTAAAAATTTTCCCGGGGGCCCTTTTTTTTCCGGCCTTTTTTTAGGGAATTTTCTTGTAACCCCAGGAAAAAAAAGCCCTTTCCCCGTTTGGGTAGAAAAAAATTGGGAAGCAAAATTTGATCCATGGAAGCATTGTCAAAAAAAAAATTTTAAATTTTAAATTTGCAAGGAAAAATTGGTTTGATAAAAATAAAGTTTTTAAACCAAGGGATTTTTTAATTTTTAAAAAAAATTGTTTTTTTTAAAAACCCTTTGCCTTTTTAAATTTTCATAAATTTCCTTTATTTTATTTTATTTAAAAAATCAAGCGTGGGTTTTGTTTTTCCATTAATTTGGGAAAGGGGGGTTTAATTGGGTTTCGGGCCCAAAACCCCGTACCCCTTTTAAAATCCCCGGAAAAGTAGAAAAAAAAAAATTTGGGAAACCACAGAAAAATTTTTCCCTTTTGGGAAATAAGGTTTAAACCCCCTTTTTCAGGGCCCTTTTTTTTTATTTTACTTTTTTAAAACATTCTAAATTACCCCAATTAAGGGGTTGGGGACAAACTTTTCCTTTGGGTTAATTTCAAAATTATAAATTTTTGCGTTTTGGGTTTTGATTTTTTCCCCTTTTCCATCAATGGTTTTTCCCGCCCGTGCCCGGTTTAAAGGGTTTTTTAAAATTTATTTGTATGCTTTATTTTAAAGTGAACGTGTCTTTTAAAATTTTTTAATGGGGTTGTAAATTTTCTAAATTTTTGCATGAAATTACCCAAAACCGAATTTTTTTTTAAAAAGGGTTTTAAAAAAAGTGGAAGATCTAAATAAGACGACTGGTTGTTTTCATAATAAAGATGTTGTTGTCAATTTTTTTTCACATTTTTGCCCAAAAAAAAATTTTTTTGATTCATTTATAATTTTAAATGATGTGAGGAAAAAAATTGGGGGGGGTAAATATTTACAAAATGGTTTTAAAAAAAAATTTTCAAAATTTATAATTTAAATAGTTTTATTAAAAGCGCGTTGTTTGAAGGGGAAACTTAATTTTTGGATTGAACGTTATTTTGTGTTCCCCTGAAAAAAAAATTTTAAAAAATTTTTTACACCCAAAAGCCAAAACAACATTAAAATTAAAAGGGGAAAAATTAAACCAAAAATTAAACGACTCTTCTTTTTGGAAAAAACATGTGTGGGGGAAAAAAAACCAAAAGGGTTTAAAAAAAACGGAACGTTTGAAATGGAAACAAAAGAAAATGGGTTTGTTTTTACTTTATTATTTGATTTATCTTGCAGTTACATCACAGTGTTATATGTATGATTTGATATAACACATGCGTATAGACAAACGCGTGTATTTAGTCGTTATTGCACTTTACAGCTTAAAGCGTCGGGGTTTTTCAACAAAGTCTAAAGAAAAAGATAGTCAGTAACTGTTACCGTTGATATATATTTATTTCTTTAAAAACTTAAAAGGTTTCCATAATGGGTCAAACAAGGTAACAGTGTTGTTTCATAGCGACACTCCTTCAAATGAATCTTTTGTAGTTTAAAGGGAAAAAAATCCCAATTTATTAAAGCTAAAATTTTGCTTAATTACGACTTCTGAACATCTACTTTTAATTTTAAAATACTTGTAATTTGTTGCTGCCTAGGTTAAAAAACTAATTTTGTACTTTTGACAACATTTTTACTCTTCTGAACATCTTTTTAATTTAAAAAAAACAATAACTACGTATCTGGAGGCATGCTGCTTTAAAATACATGCAATGCTGCAGAAGCAGCGTCGGTTAGGTCATTCATTTTTTTTATTGATATCCTTTATAAGGTAAGGTGATTGACTGTGTAATAAGCAGCTTTAATAGAAAACTAGTTATCATTTTATCTGCTTTTATTTTCTTTATGCAGTTTATTCTGATCTAGACAGAAAATTATAAATATATGTTTCATAACAAATATGTTGTAAATGTGTTTGCTTGCATAATAATTGGTTGATGCATATTTTCCATGCATTAACATCTGCATACACACCGAGAATTGTAAGCGTTGAAAGTGAACACGTCGTACAATTGCTCTGTAACTCAAGTTACACCTAAATACTGTCAGTCTATACTTTTTATATTAAAACCGGTTTCCAACCAATAACTCGACATACCATGATCTTGGCCAGATCATCAGTATTTATTAACAAGTCAATGGGTCAAATATCAAAGTCACATTCACCTTGTATGTAAAAACGGTTGCTAACAACAAGGGCTTTTGTAAAAAAAAAGACGTTTAAAAAAATAAAAAAACAAATTCTGGGGAAAAAATATCCAGTCTTATTTATGTTTACAAACCCCCAGGGGGTCCCTTTAATTTTGTATTCCCATTACTTTATTAAAGGGACAGTAGGTACATATTTTGTCAAATTTAAAATTTCTTTACAATTTAAGTTAATTTTTTCTGTTTCTCCATTCAAAAAAGTTTGTAAAAAATTTTCCCCCTTCGATCGTTTTTGATAGATCTTCAATGAAACGCGTCAGTTTTATGACATAAGTAACAAGTATTACCCGGATTATATTTTTTGCCTGAATCTACATGTATATTTTTATTTTTAATTTTTTAATATTTTTTATCCTTTTTTAGAGGAACACATTTTTTTTGGAAAAATTTTACAAACATATAAATCATTTATCCGGAAAAATTTAATTTAAAAATTTAAAAATTTTAAAAATAAAAATTTAAAATTTTTTAAAAAAAAAATAAAACAGCCAAAAAAAAACAAACCAAAACCGTTTTTTTTAAAAATTTTTCACGCCCCCCCAAGGTCATAAAATTTTAAATTAAAAGAACCCCAAAAAAAAACAATTTTTCCCCCATTATGTTAACAAAGGACCTCCTTAATTTGTTCTTTTTTGAATTTCAAATTATAATTTTCCCCCCGAGGTTTTTCCCCTAAGAAAAAAGGAAAAACACATGCTAAACTGTTTTGGAAGATACTTTAAAAGGGCCTTCCCAATTATCGAAAATAATGAAAAATTAAAATGAAAGGTTGTGAGTTTTATATACAAATGTTAATTATGTAGTAAACCGTGGAGCAAATTATCATTTAGCTCATTTGTTAATAGCAAAAAAAAAAATCCCAAAAAAAACCCCCAAAAAAACAAACAAAAAAAACAAAAAAACAAAAAAAAAACAAAAAAAAAAAAAAAACTAACAAACCACACAAACAAGCAAAAAAACAAAAACTTTTCATTGAACTTACATTCAAAATAAAATTAATACTTTGGCATACATGTAAGTACAAATATTCGTGTTTTTTCACGACAGATAGAACATTTTATGAAAATCTACCAAATATATAATTTTAACTTTCGACTATCTTTCCAGCAGTAACATTAAAATATGTTTTCAGAGATACAAACACAGCAGAGGAGAAGAAGGATGATAGAAAGACAGCGTCTCTTAGAAAACTGGTAATTTATATTAAAAAGCGTTTCTCTGAACTAGAGTAGCGTCGTCTAAAATTTAAAAAATGAAAAGTAGCATAGTATATTAGCATTTACCTTGAACAGCCTTTTCTTTCTTTAAAGTAAACCATCTTAGTCTTTATCGAGTAAGTTACCAAGTCATCAAACAAAAGTTTCTTTTATGCTATATAATCATACATTATTATTTGTTAGTTTATAATATTATTATTAATTTATTTTTCATTATACAGATCCTTCGATAGTGGAGGTTTTGGGGACATTTAACTCCTTGAATTTGGCTACTGACTTCAAAATGTAATGTCATGCCATTATCTTTGGCCGTACATAGCAGAAAATATGAATACAGATGCTATAAATATGTGATTGTCTGGCATTCATTACGTCAGTACAATACAGTATGCACTCCACTCAATATCTACATTTTTAGAAATAATAGTCTTAACAAAAATCACATATTTCAGATCAACAATGATTATTACAATTACATTATACATATTTCATACGTAATATACTTATTTAGTTCAGAACAGCCGATCGTTTGGACATTTTCCTCATGTTTATGGGAGGTTTGGCAGCTGTTGTCCACGGTGCAGGCTGGTCAATATTGATTCTATTCTTCGGTGATATAACCGATCTATTTATAACAGGTACGGTACATTTTCTCATTTTTTTTCTGTTTTATTACAATTTTCCTGAATACAAAGTTCACGGCGTGTATCACGTCTAACATTTTATGATTTGCGTGGGCAAATGACAGTATTGTTTTTTTTTATTCATAACTATGAAATTAGTCCATTATTTTGTTTGGACAAAGAGTTGAACCCTCTTATTAGTTAGTAACACGACAATTGGAAAAAACAGATACAAAAAATATTACAAACCTTAATGGCAGAATATAAAACCCGTTCTCTTCTTTTGTATTGTATTTCTGGCCTTCGCATTTAGATAACGTTAAGTTGCCCTGTAAATGAACGGTATTGTGTGTTGTAACTATAAACAAATAATAAAGTTGCATGTTTCAAAACAGTTTTCTCTCACCGCTTAGGGTTTGAATCCTGCAGAGGGCATTCGATTATTTTACGGAACGTCTGTATATCTACTCAGGTGCCTGAAAACCAAGCTATAAACTTCTTGAATAACTGTCATTCGCTTATCCCATAACTTTACAAGTTTGATTTTGTAAACAGCACGTCTTTAAGAATGTAAGCCATTTACAAGATATAACGGATATTGATTTTTGCCGAAGAAAAATAAACGTATAGACTCATGTTTTTTAGATATTTTCTTTTAGGCGTTATATTTATGCTCAGAGGGGCTTGCAATTGGTATTAGTCTCGTAAAATCATACATATCGGTTTTCATTTAACATAAATGGTCTCTGTTAAGATTAATTATTTTTGTTTCATTGAAACATAAGTTTTTCGAATAACCCATGTTTTACTATTTAAATTTGTTTTGGGCTCACAGTTAAATTGATTCAAACGCACTTCATGCCTATCCTTTGAAGATCAGTCGGAACATAACTTTAAAAACACTACGTTAAATGTTGTATATGCGTTATATTAGTGTGTTGTTATTTCAAACGCATCACAAACTAAAGCGTTTTCAGGATTTTTACTGGAGAAATTGCGGATAGGTACGCTCTTGATATGAGGGAAACTTTTGATTAAAATGTTAATAACGTTCATGTAAAATTGCAATTGAGAATTACCATTTCTGTTCACCTCCCATTCACCATTTATTGTGCATAGTATGCAACTTTACATTCATAAATATCGGGTAAACATTTTGCAATTCCTGCATCTTTGTTTCATAATAAATAATATGTTTATACAAGGACGGTATTTCAATATAGAATATAAAAAAATGGTCAAAGACAGAAAAGGCCGGGTTGCATTTGTATACCAAATATCATGTTGCTGTGATGTTACGAAAAAATATACCACTGACCATTAATGTCGAAAATTTAACTAAGTCGTTAAACAGGATGTGGATGAGCAACATACCTGAAATCGAATCCCACGGTATGGGATTACGTGTCAATGCTATATTCCAAATATCAAGAGATTGCAATAAGAAGTTTCTGAGAAAACTGTTACGAAAATTTCCTACCATTGACCATTAATGTCGAAAAATTAACTAAGTTAACAGGTAGTGGGTGAGCAACAGCCCTGAAATCGAATCTCACCGTTATGGGATTACGTGTCAATGCTTTATGCAAACTATCAAAATGCTGTGATAAGTAGTTGCTGCGAAAATTTCCTTACATTGGACCATTTTGAACAATTAACTAAATGGATAAACAGGAAGTTGAAGAGCGACAGACCTGAAATCAAATCCCAATGTATGGGACTACGTGTCAATGCTTTATGCCAAATATCAAGAGGCTGTGAGAAGTAGTTACTTAGAAAACTTACAAAAATTTCCTATCATTGGCCATTTATGTCGAAAATTTAACTTAGTCGATAAGCAGGAAATTGATGAGCGACGGACCTGTAATCAAATCCCACTATATGGGACCATGTGTCAATGCGGTATGCCAAATATCAAGAGGCTGTTAGAAGTAATCACTTAGAAAACTGTTACGAAATTTTTCCACCATTGGCCATTAATGTCGAAAATTTAACTATGTCGATAAACAGGAAGTGGATGAGCGACAGAGTCTGACCTAAAAGTGAATCCCACAGAATGGGACCACGTGTCAATACTGTATGCCAAATATAAAGAGGTATTGATAAGTAGTTGCTGAGAAAACTGTTACGAAAAGACTTTCACCGCCCGCCCGCCGCTCACTATGCACCATACTATAACTCGGGTCTGCATTAGTGCAACCGAACCAAAAATGACATTTAATAATAAAACTACTTAATGGACCGAGAACTAATACATTAACACCGTATATAAACTGGAAACCATAAGGGTATTTTAAGTTTAAACATTGTTACTTTTTCAAAAATAAATAAATGAATAAATAAAGATAAATAAATATATAAACAACCTAAACATAGACATAAAAAGCAACAACAGCCATCTGCGACAACCGCCTCCTCCATCTCCAAGCCCTCATAAAGGGGGGAAAGGAACAGAAAAATGAGCAACAAACAAATAAAAAAGCAAAAAAATATGTAATGTCATTTCACGGTTGTCTTTCCTATTTTTCTGCTGTTCTTTTCTCTTGTATTTTTTTTCTAATTTTTTTTTTTACAATAATTATTTTGTTCCCTTGTTTGGTTTTTAGTGTTATGTATGCAACATATCACATGTATATAATTTATCTCTGAAAAGTTGGTATTTCCAATATTATAATTGTTCTATTTTTAGAACATGTATGTACAAGAAGTTTCCTAACTGTTGTAGAAAATTGTAGATTATGATTCATGCATTATATTTAGATAGAAATTTCCAGATTATTCTTTATTATTGAAGATGCTAGATTATGATTACTGTAGAATATAACAGACGTATCAAGAATGATCTTAGCTAGTATATATTAGGGGATATTTTTCATTTTCTTTTCCTTTTAAGTCATCAGTTACCTTTTAAGCCATCAGTTACCTTTTAAGTCATTAATACACTTGTAGTATTATTCAACTTGGATATTAATTAATTTAGTGGCAGATTTATTGGAGCTTGGATTTTTAAAATAGATTAAATTATTCTTATGGATTTTATTGTGGGAATTTATTCTGTGTTCTTGGATTTAACTTGGATTTAACTGTGCTGTTCAAAAAGGGATCATTCCAGGATCAGACTAGACATTTGAGATTTATATTTTTATTTGGACTTTAGGTATTTGTTAACATAAATTTTTCTTTAATTTTTCTTTAATAGTTTTTCTGTAATAAATTTGTTATTGTTACTGTTTGTTGCTGGCTTTTCTTTCTCGTTACGCCTGGTCGTCACATTAGTGAACACTTCAGTTGCGGCCTTGAACTCAACTGAGGGACGTTATGATGAGTTTAATACACAGATGACCAAATACTCGTTGTATTACGTATATATCGGAGTAGCAGTCTTCGTAGCGTCTTACATACAGGTAAGGGCATTTCGCAAACGTTCCCCATCACCATTCCAAAAATATAATAATAATAATAATAATAAAAAAATCTTGCAAAACTTATATTAAAAACGCAATATATCGTGTCCTTCTTAGCACATGCCCTCCATTATTGTTTGAAATAGCCTAATGAATTACAATTAAAATGAAAACAACATTCAAATTCTAAAATTTAAAACCTTTTTATTGTGTGTCTATCTGTGGTTATACAAGAAATAGATAAAAGGTATCTATTTCTCTGGCACTACGTTTTTTACACACAGCATGGAGGCCATGTTTTTATTAAGGTCCGATAAACTGCTTTTCTTAGATTTAAGTTTTTGCAAGTTTTTTGTATAATATTTTTATGCTGCAAAAAAAGCAAAAAAAAAAAAAAAAAACCAAAAACATTTGTCTGCACTAAAACAGACATTTAACTAAATTTTTCCATTCATGAAATGTGCAAAAAGTGTGTAAAACTGCAAAATATTTTACTTGGTCTTTAGTAAATTAGCACACTCAAGGAAATATACTTATTGTTAACTTTTTTTTTCTTTTTTTATAATAATCCCAAAAACATAGACATAGTCGTGTTCTTCACTTTACATTGTGAACTTTGTTGCTAAATGAATTTTGGCCTACTGTCACTAACGACCAACTTTGTGACAACAAACATGGCTGTCAAAGCACCTTAATCTTAAAATTCTATGCCAGGTATGCTCATGGACAGTGACTTGTGAAAGGCAAGTTCATCGGATACAAAAGCAGTTTTTTCGCGCCATTTTGCGACAAGAAATTGCTTGGTTTGATGCACATCAAAGCGGGGAACTTACAACAAGATTGGCTTGGTAGGGACATTTCATTGTTGAGAATAAATTCATCTTAAGTTTGTTCTTGGGTGTAATATTAGAACGGCATCACTAATACATACCTTTATCATAACAATTTGTTCATCTTTACTGACATATTTTACACTAATATGTCTTTATTCATCTGACAATAGGATCCATTTATAAATTACATAAACACTTTCATACTTCCCGAAGGGTAAGCATAAAGTCGTCGCTTAGTCCGTCTGTCCGTCTGTCCGCCCGTTTGTCCGGGCATAACTCGGAAACAACAAGAGGTATCAACATGAAACTTTGCAATTGAGTAGATGAGCAGTGCATAAAAGGCATAACTCTGCCTAGCCTAATTATAGGGTTATTGCCCTTTGTTCATTTTTACACTTTGAACTTTGTACTCGACATTGCATTAAAACTAGGAGAGCTATCAACAAGACACTTTAAGGTTAATACAGCTCATTAAAATAGAAGTACAGTGCAAAAGAATCATAACTCTGCCCCGTGTGATTTTGAAGTTATTGTTCTTTGTTCATTTTTACACTTTGAACATTGTCCGCAACAGATCATCTACCTTGCCTTATTTTGGAGTAAAAGTCCTTTGTTTATTCTTTCACTTTAAAGGTTGTCTAAGAAATAGCTCTGAATCCATAAGTAGTATAAAAAAATAACTTTGTATGCAGATAGATCTCATAAAATAAAAATGCTGTGCAATTGAACATAACTCTGCCTTGCCTAATTTTAGTGTTACTGCTCTTTGTGCATTATGCAATTTGAACATTGTCCAGGACTCTGAAAGTATATAATATATTAAAAAAGACACATTGTACGTAGATAGTTCTCATCGGGTAGACGTGTAGTGCAAAAGAACCATAACTATGCCTTGTTTATCTTTGGAGTTATTGCCCTTTGTTCATTTTTACACTTTGAACTTTGTCTGGAACATAGCTCTGACACTATAATAGATATGAACAAGAAACTTTATAGGTGAATCTCATTGGGTAGATTAGCAGTAAAAAACTGTACCTTTGCCTTGCCTTACTTTGGAGTTATTGCCCTTTGATCATTTTTTGCACTTTTGTCTGGGACATTACTATGAAATTACAAGAGTATCAACGAGAAAATATAATGGTAGATAATCTCATTAAGTAAAAATGCAGTGGAAAGAACAGTAACTATTCTAGGTTTGGAATTATTGCACTTTGAACTTTGTCAGGGACATAACTCTAAAACCAATATAATTATATATTTATGTATACTTTTCTGTGTCCAAACATTATTTGGGGAGCATTAACGGTTCAACCGGCTCTTGAATATTAATGTGATAACTAAATGAAGTGAAAGTGCGACTGCATTTTTATACATATTTACTCAATTTCTTCCAGTGACCTTGACAGGGTTCGGGAAGGTCTTGCCGACAAGTTTAGCTATGCAATTCAGTTTACAGCCCAGTTTTCCTTTTGCTTTGCTATTGGGTTTTGGAAAGGCTGGAAACTGTCGTTTGTAATAATGTCATTATCACCCTTACTTGCAATAGGGGCAGCATTCAAGTCAAAGGTAAATTCAATCACATCTTCTCGACCCTTTCCATCAAACTTCGGATAATAATTGATAATAGCCGAGATTTTTCAATTGGGGTAAACTAAATCTACTGTTATGTCCCCTTACAATCGTAAAGTAGGCAGGGAACCATCGTAGGACACCAACTTTAAATTATGCCAGAATCAGGCTTGAATGAATCTCTAATAAACACAATGTAAATCAAGTAAATATAATGCTAATTCATAAAAAAACTAGTTCGTAACCATTAGGGAGTTACTGATAAGGTAACTTAAATAATATACCCTGCCTTCAGCCCAAATATGCAGTACATTTATTTGGTAAAATTCGGACTTGTTTAATGGAATCCGCGATAGGTTTCATTGCGCTTGCCTAAACCATAATATTGATAATGCCATTGTTTCTTCAGCTGATAGCTAACTTCTCTAAGCGAGAACAAGAGACTTATGCTCAAGGGGGCGGTGTAGCAGAAGAAGTTTTGTCTTGTATAAAGACTGTAGCGTCCTTCAATGGCCAGAACCAAGATTTAAAACGGTAATTAATGCACTATTATAACACAACGTAGTTCGATATTTTTCGTTAAAAGGACACCACAGAAGGTATAATATTTATATCATTTGATGGTGGTCTTTACTAATTACAATGAATGATTTTTTTTTCCAGAATAATCATTTTTATTTGGCAAAATATCCTAGAAATGATAAGCGTTTAAATGCTTTTAACTCAAATAAGATTAAGAATCGCATTTGCATGTTTAACTGGACTTCAGTCAAGTTTCTTAACCGTTATACATTGAAAACAGATGTTAAAATGTTATGCCTACTCATTATTATACAAATAGTATTATAAAAATAACACATGTCTTTTAGGGTAATACTGCATAAAGTGAGCGACACGTGCTATTTGTTTTAAATTATTAAAGCGAACCAACATTTTAATATAGTGAAAGATTGTAAATATAGCAGACCAGCCAAGGGAGAGAAATAGAGCTTCTTAAGTCTATATACATTACTCGCCCATGGGATTTGTTGAATTCAAGAATGATTGATCGAAATTACACACATCACGTCACATAAGGCTATATAATAAAATGTTAACGCGAGTCATAATAAATACAAATATTTCATGCTTAAATTGTTTATAATGTATGGTTGCTGATATTTGTCATTCGTGTTTTTGCCCTGTGACCTCGTCTAGCGAAAAGTCGAGCATTAACAAGTTTAAAAGGCGGAGGCGCGGAGCGAAAACACGCTTTTAACAAGGCCGGGGGCGAAGTTTAATAAGTTAAACTTCGATCCGCGGAGACGCGGAGCGAGATTTAAGAAATAAAACGGTGGGGCGCAGCGCGAAAACACGCTAATTAGCGGGGGGCGCTGCGCTAAGTTTCATAAAACTTAGCCCCGCGACCCCGCTAATAAGCGTGTTTTCGTCCCGTCTCCAAATGAAAAGGAGAATTTACAATTTGAAATTGCGGGGCGGAGCGAAAATGCTAATAAGCGAGGGAGCGGGTTGAAGATTATTAAACAAAACGTCGCCCCGATGGGGCTCGGAGCGAGATTTTAGAAATAAAACGCTAATAAGCGGCGGGGGCGAACTTTTATTCATTAAACTCCGCACCGCACCCTCATTAATAAGCGTTTTTTTCGCCCAGCGACCCAACAAAGCGAAATGTCAAGAATAAACCAATTAAAATGGCGGGGGCACGGAGCAAAAACACGCTTATAAGCGGTGGGATTTATTTGCGTGTTTTCGCTCCGCGTCCCCGCCGTTTATTTCAGAAATGAGATTTATTTATCAAACTACGCCCCGCACCCCAGCTTATAAGCTTGTTTTCAGTCAGGGTCCCCGCCATTTTATCTTGGTAATTCTCGACTTCTGGCGTTGCGGGAGTCGCGGGCAAAAACTCGAATGGCATTAATCAGCATCTATAATTATGATTCGTACGTTTTCAGATATGAGGAGAAACTTGAGTATTGTAAAAATCTGGGTATCAAGAAATCTTATATCACAGGAACTGGTCAGGGATTCCCAATGCTCGTCATGTTCTCAGCATACGCCCTTGCTTTCTGGTATGTACACTATCGGGGCCAAAAACCTAGGTCTGTAGCGATTCGCCGCGATAACGATTTGCCACAAAGTATTACACGTTGTCGTATATTTTAAGCAGCCTCCATGTTTTATATTCTGTCGGAAATCAACTATGTGTTGTTTCAATCTAAGTATTTCAGTAATTTTATTTTGGAAATGTGCCTCATATCACCGTTAAGTTTTCTTCAATACAGCGTCCAGAGAACTATTTACAATACGTCAGTGACTTTCATACCTAAATGTACAAGATCGGGCTTTACCAGTAAAAATATAGGGAGCGAACTTACATATAAGATGTATCGAGAGACTTCCGTTTTATGTACTTTATCATCGGTAAATTTTATTTTCAACCTTAAGTCTCTTGATTTGACAATTATATGAAACGACTTATCTAGAAACGAAAAGCTGAAGGTCGCTTTAATAAATAATGACTTATCAGAAGTGAATATTTTTCATCACAAATGAGACTCTCATGAGTGCCTCAATACAAATTTACACTATGGTTAACAACTCTGTAATGCGTTTTGTAAAATATTGCATATCTGGAGCATGGTTCCAAATTTTAAATATGTTGAATATTAAAATCAGTTAGGACTCAAGAACTTTAATAAATATTAAAAAGTTCAAGTACATTAATTTTGATAATTTGAAAAAAATATGAGCTATAATTATAACTATGATTGCTGTTAATTTTTCAGGTATGGCACCGAGCAAGTGAAGTCCGGCGATATGACAGGCGGGACGGTTATAACGGTAAGAAATGAATGAATGAATGAATAAATAAATAAATAAATAAATAAATAAATAAATAAATAAATAGCAAATGATAAACCTCTAAATAGGAGTTTAATTATTATATGTATGGGAGGTATTGAACAAGAAGGGTTTGATTCAATTTGATTACAATCCGCTCCAAATTTACGCTACGCGTAAGGATCTGACGAACTCCTTCTTGTAACCTTCAAAGCAGCCAATCATTGACGACCTTTTTATTTTTGAAAGCGAGCGATTGGAATTGAGCCCTCGTAACTCTGGAGTTGTGTACAATAGTAATAATAATATTCTTTTAAAATATTGTTACAGCAGTTTAATTATATTGTTGGTTATAAATTCATTATGACATAATAACAGCACACTTATATGTATCGTTATATCAGTCAACATCTTTTTTTCAGGTGTTTTTCTGTGTGCTGATAGGCACGTTTTCCATTGGCAATATAACTCCTCATCTAACAGCAATCGTTGGGGCGAAAGGTGCCGCCGCCGTGCTTATAGATATAATTGACAACGTAAATATACCTTTTTCTAAATTAGCTCCCTTGTTATAAGTTTTCTATATGGTTATAAAGTTATATATATCAAGCCTAGTCCTCTCATGTAATCTGAATGTTCTTTTCGGGGTGGGAAAGAAGAAGTCAAGTGTTTGTGGTTGATATTCTAACACAATGCAGTTATGTGGTATAGGTATAATATAAATATGTTTGAAAATTGTTTAAGAGGCATAATTTTATACAGAGATAAAAAATCAACTGTGGTAAAAGCTTTAAATTTAAAAACAATTTTAATTTTTTTTTCCTGAAAATAACATGATTTATTTTATTTTTCCCTTTTATAAGTTTTCACCCAAACAACAAACTGGGTTTCCTATTTAAGCGAAATATCATAGGAAATTAAACAATGTTTCTCTTTATATAAGTTAAATGTGTTGTAAAAAAAACTTTCTCTTCTTTGTAATATTTTGAACATAAGGATCCGGAAATTGACGCAAGCTCACGTGACGGGGAAGACCTGCAGGACATACACGGAAATATAGAATTTAAAGATGTCGACTTTACCTACCCGACCAGAAAAGATGTTTCGGTAAAATTTATTTTAACTATAAATACAGTAAAAAGTAGTTCTAAAATACAATGTTCAAGCTGCCTAATCGATTACAATTTATGTGCTCCATAACATTTTAAGAACAGTTTTTTTTTTAAATGAAGGACTAATAATTTTGAAAGCAGTAATTTCAATAGAGTCCATGACACTAACATTAAATACAAAAGTACTAAATTAAATAATTATAAAGCAAGCCAAACATAGATAAAACGAAATCAAAAATTTTCAATATGTATTTAAAACATCGTGTTATGAATAAACTGCCAAGAACGGCATTCATGCAATTTACAGCTTATTGTGACATAACATTATTTCTTTCTATAAGTTAACCCATTTGTGTTAAATATATTCTTTACTGTGTTATTGCATGTATAAGAAATTGACAATAAATTACTGAACATAAGAATTCTTAAAACTGAGACAAAATAAGAATATTTTTATTTTAGAGGTTTTTTTTGTTGCACAATCGCAGTTTATCATATGTAGATATAGATATTTTTGACAAGCTATATAGCCCAATATAAACGGCTGTTCGAGGATACGTGGATTGATCAAAAAGTTATTGGCCTGGTGTAGTTCCGGTAGTCAGAGAACCCAAATTATGGTCTTACTTTTCAATATTATCGCCTTCTACATCAATGAACTTTGCTCACCTCTGCTCCAACTTGTTTAACCCTTCAAAAGAGAATTTTCTATTTTGGTCTCAAAGAACTCATGGACAGCTTCCATGACACCTTCATTGGTTCCAAAACGTCTACCATGAAGCTTGGTTTTCAGTGTCGGAAACAGGTAGTAGTCAAACGGGGGCAAGTCTGGTGAACTGGAGAATAAGGGGGGGGGGTGTAGTGGTGCGGAAGCCGCAGCAAGTTGAAGCAGCCATCGCAACTAGGGATTGGTGAGCTTGCGCATTGTCATGCAGGAGCACAACGCCTTGAAGCAGTTTGCCCCTCCTTTTACGCGCAGACGTCTCAATTCGCCTGCAAAGTACGTACCGTGTATGGTACGGCCTAGCTCAAGATAGTCAATCATGTTTATCCACTGACATTTCCCAAAACAATTAAGCCATCATTTTCCTTGCTGATGGTACCTTCTTGAATTTCTTTGGAGGGGTGAACCAGGGTGCTTCCACTGCATGCTCTGTTGTTGTTTTAATTATTGATCGAATAGATAAACCCATGTTTCATCCTCAGTTACGATTCGGTAGATTTAATCGGATTATCCTCGTAGCTAGACAAACTGTATCTTGAAATGTCAAGCTTGGTCCGTTTCTGGTCGTCAGTCAACTGTCTTGGGACCCATCTATCGGCAACATTTGACATGCCATAGACATCAGTAAGAATTGCCTGAACTGAACAAAGCTTATACCAACTTCCAAAGCAATCTCGCCCTCTGCCTCACATGACCAGATCGTGCACATCTTCGGCAGTTTCATCGATTGTGGCCTCTTTTAGCGCCCAGGCCGCTCATTATCTCCAATGCTCTCCCTGCCCCTCTTAAATTCAGCAGCCCATTCTGTCAAAGTGTTATAGGAAGGGGACTCCATTCCTAGTGTATCCATGAAGTCTTCATTGCTTTCCTTGGGGACATCCCTTTCTTACAGAGGTACTTAATGACGGCTCTGATTTTAACTTTTGCCATATGGTCTAAATGACACACACCTCTACTGATCAAATTGTGTTTTATGTAACTTTATCGGTATAAAACGCGTGTAACTCGGTCAGTTATCTTTAATATTATATCGGTATCGACATATCGTATGTAAAGGTCAGTGTAGTGGCTAGAAGTATATCGGCCGAGAACTTTTTGATCATACGAAAACCTAATCCTTAAGGCAAACTTCTTTTATTAGAAGAAACATATGAAATCCCCTCATAGTCAACTGCAGCCGTGTATATTATTTGTTATAACGATTTTGACAGGTGATATGGCCCTATTTTAACGGCAACCTTGTTTATGTAACCAGCCTTTAGGCAAGGCTTATATTTTACAAATAACCGTTTATATACGGTTATAAAAAGAGTGAAGAATCTATCTTTAAAACTAATTTATAATACTTTAAACTTTGTTTTTAAAGAAAAAGTGAGATTTCGTAATAAATTTTACAGCAGCCGTGAATATTAAACGTTTAAATACTGCACATTTGTAACGCTTTGTTTGGATAGATTATCGCGACTTTTATATATTTTTATATAAACGTCACAATTATCCAATGAAAAACAACGATACAAGCATGCGGTATTATAAATACCGAGGTAATATATTTCAGGTCCTGAAAAGTTTTAACATGAATGTAAGATCTGGTGAGACAGTTGCTTTAGTTGGACCAAGCGGTTGTGGCAAGTCAACAGCTGTTAATCTTGTACAACGATTCTATGATCCTGACAAAGGGAGTGTAAGTTTAAACATTTTTGTATAATCACATGTTATATCGTATTTTAGTATTTGCCTCACTCAAATGTATCCAAACCCTAACCCAAATCTACGTTAAATAACTAGGAATTGCACTTTAACTGATAAATTACCTGGCAAAGGCAATGCCCATTAGGAAGTATTAGGCTTCCCTTCATGCTTCGGGTTCGAATCCCGACACTGACATTGGATAGAAGATACCCAGCTACTTAAGGGAACGTCGGTGGCTCTACTCAGGAGCTAATTAGTGCCTAAAATAATGTACGGAAATGCTTCAATCAGAAAACCTGGAAAATTGCCAAATGACCTAATCTGTATTGTTGCGACGTAAAACTAAAAAAGGCAGTAAAACCTACGGTAAATAATTAGAGTTTACATTAAGGTTACTTGCACTCTGTGAAAGAAATTTGTTTGAACAGTGATTAACATATCATAACAATCATGTTCAAAATGAAACAATCATGATTTGATTTGCATATATAGCTTAGACATGAATCAAAATGGCAGTTTATTATTTATACCGTTTAAGGTTTCAATTGATGGTCGGGACATCCGAGGATTGAACTTAAAAAGTCTACGTAACAAAATTGGCGTTGTCTCCCAGGAGCCTATCCTGTTTGGCATATCAATTAAAGAGAACATACTGCTAGGGCAACCCAATGCCAGATACGAGGAAGTTGAGCGGGCGGCGAAAGAGTCCAACTGTCATGATTTCATAATGGCGTTACCTCAAGTATGTTTTTACAATCTATATTTATATAACTTGTATCAAAGTTGTATTGTCAATAAATGTTTTTACTGATTTTTAATGCGTTTTCATTATAAATTCTAATTTTGATAGCTTTTGAACATTCATTTTGATTCGTACAGGCAAGTACCCGAAGGGTTTCTTTTATCAAAACAGAAGTTTTGCCATCATGTATTTTTCTTCGTTTTAAGGGCTATGACACTTTGGTCGGAGAAAGAGGTGCCCAGCTTTCAGGAGGCCAGAAGCAGAGAGTTGCAATTGCTAGAGCGCTCATCAGAGACCCGAGAATTTTACTTCTAGACGAAGCGACATCAGCACTTGACACACAAAGCGAAAGAGTCGTGCAAGATGCATTAGATAAGGTATCGCCGTGTATTTTTGTGCCATTATGACCTAAATTGAATTGATGCACCCTTAAACCAAAAATAGCAAACAGTCGTGTACAATTCAAAATAAAATTCATCAGCTCCAATGGACCTTTCCTTGTTAATGTATGACCCGACTTTCCTATTAAATTTTATATAAATGAACCTTTCAAGTTTTAAGCGCGAATATATAAGCCTCGCCTTTCCATCTAAGGTCAATGGACGTTTCCGGTTTAAAAGCCGTAAACATTAAGCCCCGCCTTTTCTATTCATCTTTAAATTAGGTAAATAATCCTTTTTAGTTTTTAACAGCAAATAATTAATCCCCGACTTTTTCATTCAATGTAAGGTCAAGACCGTTTTCGGTTTGAAGCAGTAAGAAGTAAGCCCCGCCTTTTCTATTTAATGTTAGGTCAATAGACTTTTCCAGTTTCAAGCAGCGAAAAATGTGCCCCCTAGTTTCTTGCTGCAATGTTAAGTATATTGCTCAGAAAATTTTCACAAATAAAATCTCGTGTTCTATTGCGTAAAGCAGATCAAATAGAGGATATGTAGCAATTAGATAGCCATTGGGTTAATCCTGAGCATTGATCGAATGTTTCACTACCGTTCACTTTCTTACGTTTAAAGTAACGGTAGTGACTAAGGGAGCATAGCAGCTTGGGACATCTAAATTCTTATAAATCTATTAGTGAAATAATATATAATAATTAGTTAATGAATTATGTAAGGTCCTTTGTGAATATTTATAACATTTATTTACCACCGCAAGGCGAGACAAGGACGCACAACCATTGTGATTGCACATCGATTATCAACAATACAAAATGCTGACGTCATTAACGTTGTACAAGATGGCGTCATTGTTGAGTCAGGAAAACATTCGGATCTCATGCAAAAACATGGTGTTTATCATCAGTTGGTGACGGTACAGATGCTGATTGAAGAAGATGAAGATATGAACGAAGATGATAACGCCTGTAAGTTTTTCATCGATACGTTAAATATGACGTCTTACGACATATGGAAACCTTTTAATAGTTTTACAATTGTACAAAAGAGATAACATTTTGTTAGTATATACAAATCTATTTTAGTTTGATGGTGTTGGAAGGTATAAATTTATGGTTACACTCTTGAACACATTCATGGAACCAAATGGCATTTATCAATTAATGTAAAGTTTCTTGCTCCCGGGAACAACGGCTTGCCCCTGAGGGGGTAGCCCCTGACGGGGTTGGAACCCTAGAGGCCACGCGTTAACAACTGCTATTTTTAATTACTTTCTATTTATCATTTGTATTATATATATTTTTTTCTATTTGCTACTTCCAACAAAAAAAAACATTGTTAGTGGTATGTAATCTATTATTTTACTGAACAGTGTTTTAAACATGGGTTTTAGATGGTGTAGACTTGGTACTAAATGGTATCCCAAGAAAGATGACCATATCAGAGAATAAGCAGCTTAAAAAGTCTACATCAAGACAGATTTCTAAGCTGATTTCAAAGCCCAGTGCAACCGATGATGAAAAGGACATAGAAGAAGAGGTAGGTGCCTTAATCAATTACAACTTTATTGTCTGCTTTGGTCAGTGATACATGTAGAAGGATGTAGTTGATAGTTTGATTAACAATTGCCGTCCTTATATAGATTGAAATGAAACGGATCTTTCAAAACGTTAAGTTTTAACATGTCGGTATGCCTTTGAAGTTGATATTTTGATTACAGTTTACCTTTAAGTATTACAATAGACATTCATCTTAATATAAAAAGTTTAAGTTTACTTTAGTTCCAAGAACCTATCATGTTATAAATTTATTTAGGGTAACTAATATTAAGCTTTGCAGCGTTGGTCTGGCTTTGGTAGACAGTGGAGTAATAAAAATTCTTAATGCTATGTGACCTCAATGATTTATTTTTCATTTTCTTCCAAGATACAATTATAGTGTTGTTCAACATTAACCTTTCCGAACCAAATTTTCATTCAATTGACTCCTCAAAGTTATTGTACACTTATTACTTATGTTTTTCATTTTTGTTTTTGTAAATATATAAAGATATATTTAGCCCCACAACTGTTTTTATTTTTCAAGATTGTCCTGTTGGCTTTTAAGCTTTTAATGACTTTTTGTGTTTATTTTATGTTGGCATTTAGTAATTTTAGTATTTTGTATGAAAGACTAAATACTATATTGTTAATATTTCACTGTCAGTACTAATTTGGCCAAGACTTGAGCTAAGCATCTTTCATGTTCTGTATCGATTTTTATTCCGTTAATGCCAAACTATAAACAAATGGTTGTCATTTCTAAAGAGAGAAAATAATATTCATTTCTTAGTATTGATGAGCCTTTATATCATTGAATCATTTAATTCACAGGTTGAGACTGCCCCAGGAGCTAAATTCTGTCCTATGCTACAAGAAAATAAACCAGAATTACCGTTTATTTTGATTGGATGTATGGCAGCCGCTGTCAATGGATGTACTATGCCGGCATTTGCTATATTCTTTAGTGAAATTATCAAAGTAAGTGTTCCTCCTTCCATCACAATATACATAATGATTCTTTGATACATTTGCTTATTATATATATTATTATTTATTTTGATTCAATTCAATAATTGATGTGCTATTTTAAGATTTAAAGGCTGAACAATTAGAAGCGCATATAAGATCTTGAATTTGATAACGACCTGTGCTTGCTTTTTATTCAAAGTGGCTACTTTTTAAACAAACATTTTACATTTTGATGTAGGCCATTCTATAATGACGCATCCGACCTGGGAATCAGTGCAAACGCGACCTGATAATCAGTGCATATGCGACATCATAATCAGTTCAAATGTGACCTAAGAGTCAGTGCATATGCGCCATGAGAATCAGTACATATACGACCTTAGAGTTTGTTGTGATTATTGCTTCCGAAGGATCACTTTGTTTTCAGATTTTTATTCTTCACAACAGCAGTGTAAAGCGCCATTTGGCAGCCGTAAAGAGTTGCCCCGTACTTCACTTCAGTGTTGTTATGTTTTTCTGGTCCTTCAGGATCATTGATTCCAGCACTATTAAGTGTTAAGAATTAAGTATCGCTCAAGCCGGTGCTTTGGGGCGTGAGGGAAGTTGCATATACGGCCTCAGAAACAGAGCATAGGCGACGTTAAAATCAGTGCATACTCGACCTTAGAATCAGGGCATACCCGAATAAGAATCAATGCATACGCAACCTTAGAATCAGTCCATACGCGACCTAGAATCAGTGCATACCCAACCTTAGAATCAGTGCGTACGCGACCTTAGAATCAGTGTATATGCAACCTTTGAATCAGTGCGTACATGGCCTAAGAATCAGTGCATACACAACCTTAGAATCAGTGCATACTCAACCTTAGAATCAGTGCCTACGCGACCTTAGAATCAGTGCATACCCGACCTTGGAATCAGTGCATACGGGAGCTTAGAATCAGTGCATACATGGCCGTAGAATCAGTGCTTACCCGACCTTGGAATAAGAACATAGGTCACTTTAAAATTAGTGCATACCCGACCTTAGACTCAGTGCATACGGGACCTTAGAATCAGTGCATTCGGGACCATAGAATAAGTGCAAACCCGACCATATAATCAGTGCATACCCGACCTCATAATCAGTGCATACCCGACTATTGAATCAGTGCATAACGGGACTTTATAATCATTGCATATCCGACCTTCAAATCAGTGCATACGCGACATAAGAATCAGTGTATACGCGATCACAGAATCAGAGCATATCCGACCTTATAATCAGTGCATATTTGATCCAAGAATAAGTACATATTCGATATCAGAATCAGTGCATATGTTTTCAAAATCAGTATATATATGACATAAGAATTATTCCGTATAAGACCTCTTAATTCGTGTATAATCTTTAAAACAATGAGTGTAAACGGCCTTAAATATAGATGTATATAACTTCGCATAAGTGTTTATGATCTCAGAATGTGTGTATTTGACATAAAAATAGATTTTTTTGTCGCAAGGAATAAAATAATGACATAATCATTTTATCATAATTGACACATGTGATGCTTTACATTTCCAAGTCTTGTTCCTGTTTTCACAAGAACTGTACACATATAAATGTATTGTCTCCAGATGAAAGGTACAATGCTCAGAGTAGCGCGTGCTTGAAACCGCAAACAGGGTGCACATTGAATTGTATATACTTGAAAGACAATGTGCAGTTACTTCGTGTATCTACTGTGACACTAAACATTATTCAAGGTTTAAGTTATTCAGAAAGACTTCATCTATTTCCTATTTCAGGTATTTATGAACAACTACTCGGACAGTTTTTTGTGGAGCATGATGTTCCTAGCACTTGGTGGAGTTCAGTTTATAGTTAATTTCCTACAGGTTTGTACTGTATTATATGTCATATCAACCTTTTAAACGTTTAAAACTCTTCGCCTTGGGTAATACATAATTTATTTAAGTTCGATTGTGTAGGACGCAATATATGGTATTTGTGGTTTCTCACCGCCGCCCTGTCTAGCGAAAAGTCGATAATGAACACGTTAAAATGGTGGTGGTGCAGAGCAAAAACACGCTAATAAGCGGGTGCGTGACGAATTTTGATAAATAGAACATCGCCCCGCACCCCCGCTACTAAGCGTGTTTTCGTTCCGCGACCCCGCCAAGCTAAAAGTTAAGAACTAACAAGTTAAAATGGCGGGGACGTGGATATAAAATATACTATGAGGGCATTGAGCGAGACGTAATACATAAAACTTCAGCCCCGCTTATTAGCGTTTTTTTTCTCCACGCCCCTGCTATTTTATTTCCGGCCCCAGCGGGCGAATTTTTTTAATTATTTTTGCCCAGCGCCTTCGCTTATAAGCGTACATCGTTCTGCGTCCCCGCCATTTTAATTTGTTAATTCTCGACTTTTGGCTTGGCGGGGTCGCAGGGCGAAAACACGAATCACACAAATCAGCCACCATAGCTATAGACTTATAGAAACGCTTTCAAATCAGTCCTCGATAAAACAAGTATTAAGCAATGAGTGTAAAGTTTCGTGGTAACGGAAACAACAAAATGACCCTGATGTGGTTTGAACCCATGCAGCTAGCGATTATTAGAATACTGTCATTGTATCCAAATAGCTAAAATCAGACATTCTATAAATACGTGGAAAGGTATAAAATCAATCATCAAACTGTTTTTAAGTAGCCGTCAATTAACTCAATGGGCGTTTGACTTAAAATTTTATGGCCCGGGTTCCATCACCGGATGATGCAGGCCTCTTTCGTTGGGATATATCAAGTAATCTTTTGCATCGTCATTCGCTGTGTACCTCTGCTCTGGCATGAACAGACGTTATCGGTTTCTTGCTGAATAACAGGTTACTGGTACTGGTAAACTGCTTGACAACCTGCCCAGGAACAACGCTTTGTCTGAAATGTGCTCTGGTAAAGTCAATGTGGCTTACTGTTGTGAGTCGGAGGGTAAACTACCAACACCACTATTTAAAAGTAGACGGATATGTGTTTGTTTGCAACGTACAGAACTTGTACCTTTCTTTCATTTCTCTACCAATTTAAAATAAACTAAGTATGTAATAGAATATTACATCGATTCTTTTGATGATTTACGAGCGAATTATTAAATTCATTTATGTTTCAGTCGGTTTGTTTCGGTCACTCCGGAGAAAGATTAACATTTCGTCTACGTTTGAAGACTTTCCGTGCATTTATGAGACAGGATATGTCGTATTTTGATGACCCTAAACATTCCACAGGAGCTTTGACTACAAGATTGGCAACAGATGCATCACAAGTTAAAAATGTAAGTGCCAGAATCATACTAAGGAAGACAACTGGGTATTGTATAAATTGAACTGTAAGAGCGGTAGTTTCCCTTTTTGTCAAATTAAAGCCATATTTCCTCGAATGAGGCAACCCAAAATTAAGTTATTAACTTTGCGATGTGTCTTATGAGTATTTGCCTTAATATAGTAAGATTCTCAAGCGAGGAAATAACTTAAATGTCGTTATAGTTCCCTTGCGAGACTTTGCTTTGATTAAAACTTCAAAATGTAAATTGAATTACGTTGTCCTGTTCAGGTGAAATTAAATGTCGCCTGTTAGCATGGATCATGTCGACATTGTTACCTTATCTATTCAATAAAAACGGCTACACAAAAAAAGTTTGTAAAAAACTCGCTTGTAAACAGGAGACATTCTTATTTGCTCTAAAAGGACATGGAAGTTAACTTTTTTTTAATATTCTTTTCTCTCAATTGTTTTATTATTTGTTTTCCTTTTTTCCTCGATTTTGAACTATTTACTTTCTGTTGCTAGGCAACAGGTATCCGTATAGCAACAATGATACAGTCTCTGTTTGGTCTTGTCGCTGCATTGGTTATAGCTTTTATCTATGGATGGAAACTTGCATTTGTGGTCCTTGCTGGCGTTCCGTTAATGGCTTTGGCAGGTAAGAAATACATTGCAATGTTATTTCATTATAAAATCATTTCTAAGTGACTATTACTAACTTTCAGGCCTAAATTGTGAAACAAAAAGCAAGCATAAATACATTCTTTTTTGAATAATACATTCGATATCGACTGTTGTATCAAAGATCTATGTGATTCCTCAAATCATATTTTTTTCTTTTACCATATATTATAGATCTTGGGATTGGTGCGATACAATTGTAACTCTTGACTTTTTAAGAAGGAGATGCAACCGTATCGCATCAAACTCACTTGGTGATGCTTTTATTACAGGTGCTTTACAGTATAGATTTGTAATGGGAAACCACAAGAAAGATAACGTTGATCTTGAAGCAGCAGGGGAGGTAGGGTTTTGTGTTAAGATATTAACGTTTTTTTGTTATTATTTATGATATCATTGAAAGATTAATCAATATATCTTATATGTATTTCTTTTGAAAAAAAAAACGTTTTAATTATCTATGTAATACATGTACTGATTTTATGCAATTAATTAATTATATAATTAATTAATAAATAATACACTTTACTTTTATCAAATGCATTCCATATGTCCTATAGGACATTGACGTAAGAATGGCCTTGAAACAATTATTTTCAAAAGTTTAAAATTATCAACGAAAAAACATTAAATTCATGAAAATGATGGTACATATTTTTTCTTAGTAAGGAACTTAAGGCAGACAAAAATGACAAGGTTAATCAAGCTTCAGCGGATAAAATAATGAAGGACCTGGTGTTAAAACTGACAATTTAATTATAATTGTAGACAGCAAGTGAGGCCATAGAAAATATAAGGACTGTGCAGTCATTGACAAGAGAACCGGATTTCTTCCAGAAATATGCTACTTCTTTGAATAAGCCATACAGGTAAGGACAAAATACTAAATTTATTTTCTTTAGCATAGAAAATTGTACTTGTTTTTTATAAACATGTTCATTCTTATCAATAATAAAAGTCATTTTATATTTATATGGAATATACATTTTGTTATACAAATTGTTTTATTTTATACGATTAATACTCTTTCAATGATCAGAAATACAAAATTGCTCAACAAAGTTTATTGAAGACTTTTATCAATCGGCTATAACAATATTGTTTTTAAAACCCCCAAAAAATCTAATTCATTTATGTTTGTAAGCAAGAGCAATGTGTTATATACGGTACAAGCTTTTTTCATTATTTTGTAACAGTACATGTATATTGAAGCAAGTGTTTTTTTTCAGGACCAATATCAAAGCGGCGCAGCTTACTGGATTAACTCTTGGTTTTTCACAAGGCATTGTGTTCATGATATATGCCGGAGCATTCCGATTTGGTGCTTACATGGTGACAACAGGGGACATGACTCCTGACAATGTGTTTAAGTAAGACTGATAGTTTTATGATTGCTTGAAAGTTTTTTAATGTTGATAGTGACTGGCAGGGATCAAAGCTTCCCCTAATTACATTAATAATTACATTAATAAATACACTAATACACATAGGTGTTAGACTATACTAATTGTTTATAAACATGCTGAAAACCACCCTATAAGGTTAAATGAAACTTCCTTTGGGGAATTTGAATTCAAAAATATGTATGACAGTTGGCTTAAATACTTTTTTTAAAATAAAACAAAGAAATAAATGTACATAAATACATACATACATACGTACGTACGTACGTACATACATACATTCCAAACAATCATAGACAGAAAAACAAACATATAAAGAAACATGTATAAACATACAGACAAGCTAAACAAATTCACACACAAACCATTATGCTGATTTGATGCAGTGTTTGCCAAGATGCAAATGATAACTGAATATGTCTTACAGAAAATTCAACAACTGATAAAATACCAAGATATTCCAATATTTTCTAAATTAAAATGTAACAAATGGTTCATGTTAAACAACTTTTTTCAGAGTGTTCTTTGCCATTTCTATGACTGGTATTGTGATTGGACAAAGTAGCTCTTTTCTGCCAGATTACAGTAAAGCGGCCACTGCAGGTGGTCTCATATTTAAAACTTTAGATACTATTCCACTCATCGATGTTTTCTCAAAACGAGGCCAATACTTAGTGAGTATACTTTCTTTTTATGCATTTACACAATTTTTTTAGATTATTTGATTTAAGCATTACACCGAATGAGTAAGTTGTAACATTTTCCCATTCTATAGCAATTGCGGTCACTTCATTGCCAATATTATGAAGGTATCAACATGAAACGTGAAGCATTTATGATGACAAAGAACATTTGTTAGACAAGGGCCATTCACTTAAAAGCAATATTTTCAGGAATTATGCCCCTTTTGAAATAAGAATGTTTGTCAAATAATCCTCCAAAGTAGACTGATTTCAATAATCTAAATTTGGATGAATTTTTCATCATGACAATGTGCATTTGTAAGACAATGGACAACAATTTGACAGAAAACCGTTATATAGCGTATTTTATTTTTTGACTTGTTATTTTGGTTAAAGTTGTTTATTATGAGAAAAATATCATCAACCTGAAACTCGGAACTTTGATTATCATGATAAAAACATCTTAAGATAAGAGCCATTATCCTTGAAGCATTACTTTAAGCTTGTGGATATTTAAACATTTGCTTTTCACAATTGAGCGTAAATATTGGTGCACTTGTTATTACATGTATAAAGATTATATTTTCAGTCTAATACACTTTTTTGTTATAAAGATAAAAGTTCATTTCATTTTCAGTCCAATACACTTGCTGTTATAAAGATAGAAAATCAATTCATTTTCAGTCTAACATATCTGGACGTGTACAAATAAGAAACGTAACCTTTAATTACCCAATGCGACCAGACGTGCCAGTGTTAAAAGGTATTAATATAGACGTAGAACCAGGGCAAACTGTGGCACTAGTAGGTCCGAGTGGATGTGGCAAATCCACGGTTGTGTCTCTTCTACAACGATTTTATGATCCGCAAGATGGGAGCATAGTGAGTAATTAACATTGACGTTTTCTGACAAATAAAAAGTATCTCCCTCATGTGAACGTTTTCTTAAGTTTACAAGTTGTTGTAGGCGTAGAATTTGCTGGGTCTTTATCGAAATTATTATTCCTCAATATATCATTCAATTCTAATACCCATACATCTGTAAAACGTTCCCATCGAATCTCACATTCATAGATATTATTTCCTCGTGTGATATAACTCACATCTTTACATGCCTTTGTCATAGGGTACCAAGTACTACATTAGAATTGTTTTATTCCAGGTATGAAATACATATAATGTGTTAAGTTAATTTCCATGGGCTTGCTTATTCTATCTTCAGTTAATATTTAAATAGACAAACAACAGCTGTTTTTGTGTATAATGGTCTAAATAATGTCGTTTACAGGTATTTCTTGTGACTGATAAAATGTTTTATATTGCTTTGATCTTTATATATTGATATAAAGCTTTGTGGAATGATAGTGGATACTGCAATCTCTTGAACTGGCATATATCCGATCGGCTGCGCCTCGTAGTAATATAACAATAGCTGGGTTGAAAATGTCATAATTATATTATACATATAATATCACTGTGAAAGTCGTTCTTGGCTTTTCCTTTTGCGGACGTTTTCAAGAACTCCTTTGAGCACTCATGCAGGATCGAGAAGGCATCCGTGGAAGGCCGACGCATTTTGCAAGCTAACTGTAAGAATACAATTCTACAGACGGAATTCGAACCAACCATGTTATGGGTTACTTGATGTCAATTCAGTGACATGGACCTTTAAAATTAGGTGTTTTCAATGTTGTTATTCAATATGAAATTGAAAACGAATTTCACCAAACATGTGTGTCATCATAAAACAATCGAACTATGAAGTTGTTGTTGTTTTGTTCCAGAGTATTGATGGTATAAACATAAAAGATATCAATCTCATTAGATTGAGACATCTTATCAGCGTGGTAAGTCAGGAGCCAGTCTTATTTGATTGTAGTATTAAAGACAATATTACATACGGTCTTGACAGTTCAATAGGTATGGATGAAGTCATCGCATCAGCACGTGCAGCAAACATACATGACTTTATATCTAATTTACCATCGGTACGTATATTATCTTTTTTAAAATTTGACAGCTTATAATTGTTCAGTTAAAATACTTCACTCGGAATATGCCGAAATGTATAATTGTACAAATGAAATATACAAGTTTTATAGAGTTTTAGATATTTAGTTGATTATGCAATGATAATTCCAAATTTAAAAAACGAAACACACGAAAAAACTTCACCTTGGGAAAAATCACATGTTGACAAAACGGCCAAAAATAATTAAAGTAATTAACGTTTGTCATTATTTGATCGTTTACATATACATCTAGTAATGTTTGCTATAGTTTTTATACAAAACAGGTTTAAATCATAGTGTTTACATTAAAGTTTGTTAAAATATTACAAAAAGGCGCTTTGTTCAACCTTACTATGACTTAAAAAAACGACAAGCGGTCGCAATAATAGAGCAAGGCCAGTTTCTCGTTTGTGCAGTTTTTCAAAGCTCTATCCTGTTGACAGACTAACGTAAATTTATACGATGATATTTCTTACAATTGATAATGACCATTTTCAAATTTGGTAGCTAGACAATTCTATTTAGAGTTTTAACATCATGGTATCCCTTGACTTATTAATTAACAGTTTCAAAATTGGAAGTTTGACAAATCCGTTAAGAGTTAAGATTAAGTTCAGGGCTGAAGATATTATAAGGAGATGTTTGACTGAGAAAGGTAGTCTAGTACTGGTGTAAATCTCCAGGAACGTTGGTTAGGAAATTACCCGCCTATAGGACTGAAATACTGTTGGAAAAAGGCGTAAAATGAAACAAACAAACATACAAAGAAACAAACAAAGTTTGACTGAGTTGAAACATTTTCTAATGATCTGAACACAAAATGAACAAAATAATTTATCAGCTGATTCAAATTAAATATTTCTTTATAGTTCTAACTTCAACCCCGAGAAGCAAATTAATAGGATGATAATATATATTTAAACATTTTATGGAAGAAACTGTGTTTCCTTGATGCCATCTGTATAATTCTTGACCTTAAATGGGTTATCATATAACAGTTTTGTGTACGGTCTTCTCGAAATATATTTTATCAAATTTAATAAAAAAGTTTTTCAGAAACATTAAACATTGATATATTTACTAGTTTGAGGCAAACAAAATGATTTGGAATTTATTGTTGGTAAATAATCGTTATCAAAATGATACGTTAGATCTTACGCTAACGATTTTGAATAGGACACAAATTACCAAAATGTAACATTTAAGTTACCATTCTGATGAATATTTTATTATTTTATTGTAAAAACTCAAAAACTCTTTTTGAAAACACTTTAAAGCATTTGCCACATTACATGTTCTGCTTGTATACTATTAGACACATTTGACTATATGTGAAAATATGTTGAATATACAATTCAGGGGTATGACACAGTAGTAGGAGAGAAAGGCACACAGTTGTCAGGAGGACAAAAACAACGAGTAGCAATTGCAAGAGCTTTAGTGAGAAATCCGAAAATACTTCTTCTGGATGAGGCCACCAGTGCATTAGATACTGAAAGTGAACAGGTTTGTTAAGTAAAAAGATTCGTTTTTATAAAATAAAAAGATGTCCAAATTATAGACATATGCATAGAAATGTATGATTGTTCTACATCAATATAAATATCAAGTTAATTTGGTTACTTTTGTAAATAATGTAAATAAAAAAAAGAAAATGTGGATACTGACGTTATGTACTGTGAGATAAATGATGAGCTGTATCAAAATTGCGTCATTTCTTTATTTTAGGTTGTACAAGCGGCGTTGGACAATGCACAAGAAGGGAGAACGTGTATAGTAATTGCCCATAGACTATCGACTATACAAAATGCGGATGTTATATATGTTATAGACGCTGGTAAAGTTGTCGAGTCCGGCAACCATCAACATTTATTGAACAAAAAAGGAGTGTACGCCACATTGGTGTCAGGGCAACAGTTGTCAAAATAATGTGAACTATAAGGTTTTTATTTTTAGGATTTATTTAGTAAATACCATGATCTCTACGTATTTTTTTGCATTACAAACTATCAGAGGTTCGTTACGAACACAAAAAACAATGTATCATGGTAATTTCTCCGGATTTGTGAGAGAAATTTATTGTTTCATATTAATAGTTATATCATTATATGTGTTTCAGGAAAACAACATTCTTTTATATTTATAATTGCTTTCATTTTTTTTCTCCTTCAGAAATTATTATCTTTTTGTTTTAGACACTATTTAATTGCTGGATTAAGTTTTTTTAATTTAAAGTGTTTTTTTGTTGATATTTTGAAATATTGTGAAAATGGTTTATATGTCTGTGTGTCTTATAGGATTAAAACATTATGAAAATTTGTCATTGAAGAGTTATATATTTATCATATCATTACACATATAGAGCTTTGTTTATTAGAGTGACATTTTCTATATTAAAAAGCCTTGTGAAATAACCATTAATTCCAACTACAAGTCCTAAATTATCCGGATTAAATAAATCCATGTAACCACCGCAATTGAATTAACTGTTTATTAAACACAATAATTTAGTATTTTGTTGTTTGAAAGTGCAAGTGAGACACAGGCAAAATTTTCATTTCTTAGTTTTGACTTTTTCATCCCTAATTCTGTTAATGCCCTCAAAATGAATATATTAGACAGTCAAAGAACTCTGGAAACGTTTAAGAACATGTCAAATGAATGACTTTGACTTGTTTCAATTATACAATATCCACAGTATCTGTTAATGTAACTTCAAGGATTTGTTCAAGTCACCTGGCTTGTTAAAACTATGCGGTGATTCTATTGGCGTCTAAATTTTGTTCAACATATATAGATATATTTATGCTTCAAATCCAAAATACAACAATGTATATAGAATTTAAACAGAAATTCATGCTGAAACATTTAGAAATGTCATTTTAGCCCGAGTTGAGTACAAAAGACCATTTTAATATTTTTGTCATTATTTTGCCTGAATATCCCTTTAAACAGAACAAAAGAAAATTGCTTGAAATGTTCAGAATAAGTGCCTAAAAGGTTGTCGAGTATATTTGTATTTATTGAAGACATATGAAAAGTCCGACCAGCCTGCGCAAACTATGTCTGACATTACTGTATAATATTGTGAAAAACTTACGTTAATTTAATGTTTGACATCCCTGTCATTTTATAATGAACACTTCCAGATGTGGATATTTGACAAGTCCATGTAATGAATTGAAAAAAAAAAACACCCTAAATGCATGTTTTTTATGCTCCCGGAAGGGTGAGCACATAGCCGCCGCTTTGTCCGTCTATCTGTCCGTCAGTCCGCTTTTCTCGTCCGGGACATAACTTTGAGACAACAAGAGGTATCAACATGAAACTTTGTAGGTAGATAGATCTCATTGAGATGCTGTGCAGTGCACAATAACCATAACTCTGCCTTGTTGAATTTTTGAATTATTGCCCTTTGTTTATTCTTACACTTTGCACATTGTCCGGGACATAACTCTTTAACTATAAGAGGTATCAACATGAAACTTTATAGGTAGATAGAGATTATTAGGTAGGTGTACAGTGCAAAAGAACTGTAACTCTGCCTTGCTTAACTTTTGAATTATTGTCCTTTGTTTATTTTACACTTTGAACATTGTCCGTGACATAACTCTTAAACTATAAGAGTTATCAACATGAAACTTTGCAGATAGATAGATCTCATTGAGTAGGTTTGCAGTGCATAAGAACCGTAACTCTGGCCTGCCTTTTTTTGAATTATTGCCAATTACTCATTTTTACACTTTGAACTTTGTTTGGGACATAACTCTCAAAGTATAAGACGTATCAACATGAAACTTTGTAGGTAGATAGAGATTATTAGGTAGGTGTACAGTGCAAGAGAACTGTAACTCTGCCTTGCTTAACTTTTGAATTATTGTCTTTTGTTTATTTTACACTATGAACATTGTCCGGGTTATAACTCTTAAACTATAAGAGTTATCAACATAAAACTTTGCAGATAGATAGATCTCATTGAGTAGGTTTGCAGTGCATGAGAATCGTAACTCTGGCCTGCCTAATTTTTAATTATTGCCCATTACTTATGTTTACACTTTGAAATTTGTTTGGGACATAACTCTTAAAGTATAAGCGATATCAACATGAAACGTTGTAGGTAGATAAATCCCATTGAGTAGAAGTGCATTGTTAAAGAACCATAACTTTGTCTTGCCTTATTTAAGAGTTATTGTCCTTTGCTCATTTTGACACTTTGAATTTTGTTCGGGACATAATTCTAAAATTATATGAGATATCAACATAAAATTTTGTAGGTAGATAGGTCTCAGTAAGTAAAAGTGCAATGTTAAAGAATCATAACTCTGTCTTGCTTTATTTTGAAGTTATTGCCCTTTGTTTTTTTTTTACTTTTTGACTTTTGTCCGTGACATAACTCTAAAACTATTAGAGATATCAACATGAAATTTTGTAGGTAGATAGATCGCATTGGATAAAACTGCAATGCTTAAGAACCTTAACTCAGCTTTATCTTATTTTGGAGTTATTGCCTTTTGTTCATTTTTACACTTTGAATAAGAGATATCAACACGAAACTTTGTAGATAGATATATCTCATTGAATAAAAGTGCAGTGCAAAAATCCATAACTCTGCCTTGCCTGATTTTGAAGTGTTTTCCCTTTGTTCATTGCTTTATACTTTTTTGTGTCCAAAACCTTTTCGAGCAGCATCACTTTGTTCAACAGGTTCTTGTTTCAAATGAATGTGAATTGAAACCTCTGAGAAACTGATAGTGTATAAGAGAAAACAACTGACTTTTATGTTAATTACACGGGAATTTGAGATCTTCCTTCACCAGTAATGTTTTCCTATTATTGTTACAGTGCCTAACCCCAAACACAAATAAACAATATTGGAATACATCTCACTTTGGTTATTTATATATAAGAGTTATTCTATTCATACGTTTGAATGCAACATGCTGAGTTGAATCTTTTAGAAGAAAATGTCATTCACCATATGTAAACCTGACACTTTAAAATGTATTAAGACGGCGTCCGTACTATCAGTGCCTGCAAAGTCGGAGACACACACAAATGTATCAAAAGTTTGTTTAATCTTTACCCCAAGAAATATCCTAATCCTGCATGGAAATGCCCGACTTTGTATCTCGACAACAATGTGCAGCATTTTAGGGAGATATTGATAATAGGTAATGTTTGAGTATCGAACAGTGCAGACCATGATCAGGAGGCAAATGTTTGTAAGCTAATACTGTTAATCTTGGTCTACACTGGTCTACAATGTAACATAAAGAATAAAGACAGAAAAGAATGCGTTTGATTTTCCTAAATTTGGAATCAATTAGTTGTTCTTTACAATTGAGTATGCATTACATTTCATTTCTTTTCACACTCATTAACGTCTCGAGACATATATCAAACTACAATCAAACATGTATTTTTTTCTCTCAGAATCTTTCCCTCTTAATAGAATATAGCAGGACACATGGTAAAGTTAACTTAGTTTACTTTTATATTGTTATTGATCTAAAATCTATATGATACTATTTCTTAATTTAAAATTTCAATATTTTATGGTACATTGTAATCAACCAAAAAGTAATTTAACCAGCTATATACATGTTAAGTACATCTATTTGAATTTAAGTGGAATGGTCTACAATGGGCACAATTTCTGTAACAATTTCAAATGTTGACAAACCATAGAAAGTATTTCATTTGGATATTCTAATAAAATGTTACTTGAAACAAAAATGTTGATAATGTTATAAGTGGTTTAGTATAAATTTTGTTTATGCCGAAAACTATATTTTGTTCTAGAACAATTTGTTATCTGCTATATACGTAAATGTATGTTATATATCGGATCATGTATCTCACTCTTGCCGAAAACATCCATATATAATTTGTCCGTGGTTTGTTTATAGTTCTGATACTTTATACTATCAACGTATTTTCACTGTATCACAAACCTTCAATTCTAGACCAATCAACTTAAATAATTAATATTCATACAATATACAAAATAAAGTATAAGGTTTCATGGCATACAGTCTAATGTTTGTTTCTTTGACAAACTCTGGATATCAGGCAGCAAGCTGTTCCAGAACACGACCTGTTCAGCTCTTAGACGTTGCTGTATATAAGACTGGTCGGATTTTATTTCAAGATACATCTCACCAGAATTGTCATAAGCTGGCCATGAACTCCCATTAAGCGGTACAGGGCTATTAGGATTTCTGAAAACGAAAAGAAATAATATCATTTTGTTTGCCGAATAAAAAAAACATAAATAAACGTGTATTATTTCGTTGCATCATTGTGCATTATGTCCAGAAAATTTATTTTAAAAAAATCGTTTGATTGAATTTTGAAAAAATATAATTTTAATTTAATTTGTTTTATGGATTAATATTTCATTATTTCAGCATTTTGCAATAATAATTTCAGTTATTTAACCTGCCTCAACCATGTTTTGAAAACATTGCATTTTAAATACTCGAATGTGAAAATACCGTTTTCTACCTACTTTAATTAGTTAGACACAGAATTCCTTTCACGAAAGATATATATTCAAAAGAGCGTCCTTCTATAATATAAAATGTAGTAGTAACTAACATATTTTGAGCGTAATTACAATGATTTTGACACTATTCTAATCGAAGGAATGCAATATTATATCATTTATTCTAAAGTCTCTTACCCCGACTTCGCAAAGTTTGTCCACATTGTTATCATTTCTCTTGATAACTTGTAATCATTGGGTTCAATCATACTTTCAGGCATGTTCCAGTAGCTGCGGAGATTTTCTGTGAAACCGAAAACGTATGGAAGTTCATCCGCATGGCTAGCTACATTTTTGCCATCCATAAAAGGCAAGACTGGTAAAAGACGTTTCGGAGGGGATGCTGAAAATTGATACACGTACGTTGAGGAATTATCGTTTATGTGAGACCTTGCTGTTGAAATTGTAGGGGCATTCAGGGCATAGTCGGTGACAATGTCAACTACATTCTTAATGCGACGTTTTACATTCAAAAGATCATCCCAAGTTGTGTACTCGTATATGGTTAAATCTAATGCATCTTGCGTGGGCATTTCACCGAGCCATGCCTCAACCGCTCTGGGGACAACTATATCGTTAAATTGTTGTTGAGAGAGTTTTAAAGGATCTGATGTAACGTTAAGATAAAATGACAACAAAGTCTGGTAAACTACCCCATCATAATTGTTTACACCTATCATAAGATCTATATCTCGGAAGATCGAGTACTTGGATTGAGTCTTGGGATTACTTAGTTCAGATAATATAGCCGGCGTCTTTGCAAGAACAAACTCATCATCAAAGACTGGAACCCAACTTCTGTTCACTTCATTAAATATACGGCTTTCCATCTCCAGTGTTGCATTTATCACATCAGTCTGTGACTTGCTTTGTAAGCACAACAGTATGTTCGCTAAATCGTTGCACCCAAGGGATTGAGCAAATTCTACAGAAGAGTCATGATTTGTGTTACCATGAGAAACCGCCCATGCGGCAACAGATCCACTTTCCGCAATTGCTCTTTTGAATAGGTGTTTATTGCCAGGGTATAAGGTTTGGTATATAACGCTACTCGAGCCAGCAGATTCACCGAAAATAGTAATATTATTTATATCACCCCCAAAATCAGCAATATTATCGTTCACCCAGCGAATTGCTAAATGTTGGTCCCATAAACCATAGTTTCCTTTTATTGTAGAATCATGAGTACTCAAAAAACCCAAAACGCCAAGCCTATAATTCATCGTCACAATTATAACGTCCCCAACAGCGCTGATGACGTCACCGGCCTGAACATTACTATATCCTCCAACGAATCCTCCACCATGAATGAAAACCATGACAGGTTTTGGGCCGCTGTTTATGCTTGGAGTTTCAGGTACAAACACGTTCAGGTAAAGGCAATCCTCGGACATAGTCTCAATCTTTAATCGCGTCTGAGGGCAAACGAGGGCATACTTTTGAGCTTGAAATGGGACGCTTAGTTTCTTCTTCATTACCGGCTTTTCAAAGCGAAGGTTTCCTAATGGAGGTTCGGCGTATGGAATTCCAAGATATTTCCTAATTTGATGAGTTCTTCCATCAAATCTTATTTGATCAATAAACCCAATAATATCTCCGTATTTAGTAGTTGTTACCTTATGTAATCTATCGGGTATCAAAAACCCGCTATTGACATTCATCAACGAAAAAAATAACCACACAGAAACTGGTAACTCCATGACTTATGCTCAAAACAACCATTTATGAGATGTTTAAAGTTCACGTTGATCTATATTTAAATTAATAAAGATTAAAGGGCATTTCAAAGATGCTAAGTTAAAACGGTATGTAAGGAAAAACTTGTACATCAATAAGGTTACTGTTCGTTGATGTTTCGTTTCTCAGACCCATCGACCCTAGTTTGAAGGGAAAAAAACGAATTGAAGTGAGAACAAAAATTTTTATACCGTAAATTTCATCAACTTTTAGTGATGTTCAGTGCAGAGCTTTCGCAGTTTGGACATCTTGAACTTTCTTAAATTCGGCGAGTTTGATCATAAAGCGAAAAGATCGCAGTACCTTTTTACTTACCGCATACATGTGCAGATATTTGATTTTATCCCATTTAAAGATCTTGTAACTCAATTTTTTTTATGGGTTTATATCATACATATGATGCTCAAATGAAGATTTATCAATTTTGTAAGTTCCACAAAGTATTGTTTTTAAAGATATTGCCAAATGTTTAGTTAACGTAAATAAAGGGAGGTAATAGGAAATTATTTCCGATTAACTCTTAGCTAATGTTTTCAATAAGAAATAAATGGATTTTTTTAAAGATTACGTATAATGCGCATAAATATTTGCAGTACATATTTAACATATTATTGGATGTTTGGAATTTCTTTAAAAAGAATGATTACATGTATGCATTCAATTTCACTGATGTGTTGTTACATCCTAAATTGGGAGGGATCACTACAGATACAAAACAAGATCATAATTTTATCACTGCAATTTGGCAGTAATTTACATGCCGATCACGACATGATATGCAGTTCCATTGAACGGGTGTGAATTTATATCGCAACTTACACGACACCTGCACTTTAATCATAAGCGAGATGTAGGCGGTTTTACCCCGATTGGTTTTGTCATATTTGGCAGTAGGTAGTACCGACTGTGTTACTGAATATATCGGTCAATAATAAATGACATAAGTTGTATGTGCATGTAATTTAGGTCGGTGACGTTTTTATGTTCTTTGAGTAACAGTAGCACAGATACATCATTAAATGTGGGCCAATTCATTTAAACTGGATCACTTATACACCTGCTTGAAAATCAGACACTCAGAGTTCGTTAATTTCATTGCATATTAAGGAACCTAACAAACTATATTTACGACATTTAAACATAAGTTCTGCACATACACTCTAAAATAAGGGATTAACATATTAATAGAAAATAAGTTGAAATTATTGGAAACAAATGATTTCTGGTTTATTTTTTATTGAATATAATTTCTAGACTACAGCACATTTACTGCGAGTAGCTTTATTCACGCAATATAATTCTAATTAAAAAAAGAAAAAGACAAAAAGAAAAGAAAATACTGAAACCACCCACAACAACAACAAAATACAAAACAATAAAAAAAACCTACCCCTGCATTTTGTTTTTTGAAATAACTTTCCCACCAGCGCACACTCTCAATGCTATGAAGGTCATATTTAGTTAAAATTACAATATTCATTGTTGCATTTTCATTGAAGCTTAAGACTGTATTTGTTATACATTTAGCAAATTTCCAAACTGGGGGATACATTTGCACTGGAGCAGGGGGCGGCAAACGTCTAAGTATGTATTTTGTGATAAGAGAGGGTAAAATTTCAGGATTCGCCATAATCATAACGACTAGTTTATCTATTTATTTTTTTTCTCATGTACTTTTATTATCTTTATATATATATATACAGTCAACTATCGTTATCTCGACATCGCTTTTCTCGATATTTCGTTATCTCGATGAAATTTTGAAAGTACCGATTTTCTTCCTTCTTTATCTATATTGGAAATATTTGTTTATCTCGATATTTCTATTTCGATATTTTCAGTATCTCGATGTAAAATTTCAGCCCCAACAGTTATTTTCACACTATTATCCTTTGTTTATCTCGACTTCGTCTGTTCCCTACAGACGTGTGAAAGACACAATCTAGACGATAATTGCTCAATTAATAGCGCGTGTCATAATGACGATTATGTTTGTAACAAGTTTAGCTGTTTTTATAAAAGTTAATCTATTTAGCATGTTGATTGACTTATGTCCACAATGAGTGAATTTTACATTTTTTTTAAATATTCAAACACTGTATCAATTCATTATGACTTTAAATGTAAATGAAAAAGTGAAAGTATAGAAACGCTATCGTTGCAATATTGTTTCACAACATCACCACCAAATCAATCAGCGGTGGAACAATCTCGAGAAAGACCCGATAAATAACCCGGGAGGATATCCGGATCAACCATATCCGATATCCGATTCACTATATTGGTGTATTACTGAGTAAACCTCACGATGTGTTTTTATCACAGACACTCGTATTTCCGCTGGTAAACATCCGCTTATGTTACTTTGTTAAATATTGACTAGGCCTATGAAAACAAGACATGGGGACATTATAGTTTATTTGACATAAGGTATGCACATGTCTTTTGTAAAAATCAGTTTCGCCTTGTACTAACCCTAATATGTTTATCTCGACATTTCGTTATCTCGATATTTTTTGGACGGTCCCAATGACTTCGAGATAACGAGAGTCGACTGTATTTTTTTGGCTTAGGTTCATTTTAATTTTTACTATACCCTCTTCCTTCTACCTGAAAAAATCTGAGAAAGCAAAACTTAAAAAAACAGTGGCCTAAAAAAACTTAAGGACGTGTACTTAAACATACTGATAGTTAAACTGTTTAGTTCAACTTGCCTAGTTTTTCAGCTATTTACAAACTTGGTAGTAGCCATTATTTTGAGTTGATAAAGTATTTGTTTACATTAAACTGATTGCAGTAAATAGTAGTTGCTTTTACTTATATCTAAAATAACTTCATATATCTAAAATAGATACGCTCCATGTATTCTGGATATAACTGACTTGTTAAGATGGTATCCCTCTGCCGGATTATATATATATATTATTTCCTTTAAATTTCGTTTTGCATTATTAATAAGTGTTTCTGGGTGAAATATTGGAAGTACTAAGCTAAGTATGATTAATGCCGTATCAATTTATTATTATAAATAGATCCGAATTTCTAGAGTCTATGCATCTCCTAGCTTCAGCAGATTATATGCTTTTGACCCACGTTGTTGCTTAAGTTTATAACAGGTAATATAAAGTAATATTTCCTGTTCCGGCGCCATATGACCAAAATTGTGTTTGTTCGCTATAAAACCAAACGAAATATACATAGTGAAGTATACTGACAGTTACTTGTCATTGATATTAGACAGGGGACTTAACCTGTTAAGATTTGTGTTCGTACTATACAGTTATCGATATCATTTGAGCCACGTCACGACAAAACCAACATAATGGGTTGCGACCATGAGAGCAATGCTTTAATGTATTCATATGAAAACTAGCAAAAATGCAATAAAGTCAGAATTTATAGCATGAGTGAGTTAAAAAATAAATAATTTCATGTTAAATTTCAATTGATTTACAAAACTGAGAAAAGAAATTAGCCAACATAAATATAATAGAATATTTAGGGATTTGGCGGCCATCTTTGACGCCATCTTGGATATCTCAGCTTCGCATCAGGGTTGGGTCAAATGAATATCCATCCCAGAAACAACAGATCCAGACGAACAGTTTGGTGTATGAAACTTGCTGTTGGCTGACATAGACCACTTACCCCTCTAAAAGGGCTAGTAAAATACGCTGATTTGCAGCAGTATACAGCCATTACAATACACCCTTCAAACTATAATATCTAAAAATATATCATAATTTTGACGATGTTCTTTGTTGTAAATCATTCATATTAGGTACAGAAACTAAAGATTTTAAATATGACATATTGTTTCTAGAATTGAAAAGATATATTTATTTGTCTAAGAGAAAAACTTTTTACCTACATGTATTGGTTTTAAAAATAGTTTGAAATTAGCATGGAATATCTATAGAAATACAAATTTGACAGATGATGAAAATAATAGATGGTCAATTATAAGATCCTTAATTGCTTAAACTACACTTAATATGTGAAACAAAACTTTACCTCGTAACAGATTGTTTAATTGTTTAATAATAAGTAGTAGTTTTTTATTGGTAAAATATTTTTGGAAAATAGATGGGTTTATTGTATGTATGTTGTTTATATTTATATACAAAGTATATACTGTAGATGTATTTGACAATATTTACATTAATATAATATTAAATTGAATGTTAACAATGTAAGGTATGATGGAGGATGACCCCGACCCCCTCATACCTATTGCGGGGTAAATAAACGGGGTTACCCAGATGGGGCCTCAAAAAAAAAAAAAAAAAATAATAATAATATCTAAAAAAAATATTTACCAAAAAAAACTAAGCTTCACTACAGTATGGTTTATAAATAAAAACAATCCCAATACTGTTAACCACTACAAAAAGCCTTTAACGATACATGGTAATGTAATTATAACAATACCGGTAGTTGAAATATTCCTATATTAACATATGCGAAGGCTTAATTTTCTGCAGTTTTTAAATATGCAGTGTCGTTAGGAACCGCATAGATAGCAGAAATAGATTTCCACAGAAAAGGTAATTATACGGTATATATCATTGTTATGTACACAGAGTGTCTACAAACAAGGTTGTTTATAAAATATGAAATGGAAATGCTCGAAATGTATTGAAAATCAACATAGTAGAAAATTAAAATTCAAAAGTACATTAAAAATCCTTAGTTTAGAGCAATATTGAACATTTTCAAAATTGCTGATGTCTATTTTACTTATTAAATTTGATCTTGATACTCAATTATGATAGTAGGTTTGTCTTAATTGGGAAAAACAAAGACAAGAAAAAACACACACTTTTATTAAAATTGTCATACTCAATTACTCAATAGAAGTATATGGAATTATATGTATTAGTATTAGACCTCAGTGGAGCTCCTTGAACGGGGCGCACACCTTTTCTAAATCGGGCATTATACACCGCTTATCATGGAACTGCACTAAAGTTTTACTACATTGATGGTTCCATGATGACCGCTGTATGAACACATCTGCGGAAGATTTTAAAATTCAAAATTTCACTATTACCATGTTTAAATGTGGGGTTCTGCTTAAGCCGTTATAGGGGGACATGGACAGTAACTTGCACTTTTCATTACAACAACATTTATTTACATACTGAATCAATCCGATCATGCAACATTTTGTCGTTTTGGGCTTTCTTTAGGGATTCCGTTTTTCTTAATGTTATTAGGCTGCACACATAGCACATGACAAGAACACAAATCAGTAAGTTGTTATTGTTGTATTAAATGTAAAAACTAACACATTGTCATAACATTGAAACATAAATGACACAACTTGCCAACTATTTCTTTTGAAGTTCCGGAAGCTCTAAGTTAAGGAAATCTACCTGACTTGCCCTTAGACGCTGATTAAATTTCCATTGTGAGGGAGTGATTTCAACATACTTCTCATCAAACAGGTCATACTTGGGCCATATTATATCCTGATTAATTTTACCCTTTGTAATCGATGGGCTTCTGAAAACAGAAAGTAAAAATCAATATTAAAGAACTTGAGCAGAACTATACTGTACGTCAACACAGCGATAGGCATGATTTATGCAGAAATAAATATTTCGCAATAAGCAGATAAACAAGAATTTTGATATTATCCATCTACAATTAAAGGTCGCTTCAATAATACGAGGGGTTATCTAAAAATGCGTGGACTTTTTAAATATCTGATATATCTATATTTGAACGTCTACGTGTATTGTAATGAAATTTTATCAGCATGCCTTGTAGATTATTATCAACTACTTTTGAAAGGAACAGTAAGCTGCGTCAATAAATAAAAAGATACAAATGAATGAAAAAGAATACGGCCTCAATGTAGACCACAGCGATATTCGAAATCCGTTTTTTAGTATTGCCAATAAAGCTAAGGGACAAACTGTTACACTGAGCCTGCAATTTCGTGAAAATAATATCACTATGCACATGCTTTTTACATAAAGTTATTAAATACAAATATAACAACATATTTGTTTACTTGATTTTTACGAATCAAAATAAAACTAATTAACACAACATGACATTAACTGCTAATAACAACAGCTCCTCCCATAAACCAAAACAAAAAGCATTTCATAAGAGATGACGCCGCTCATCGGCGTCGCCAATGATTTTTATATCGCTTTAAGATAAGCACATGCACGACACCTTACGCACGGTAGAAAAGCGCAGTAAGTCATCGTATATTGTTTCTAAAAAAATAATAATAATTTCAGTAGAAAACCCGCTAAGCATCGCATTTTTCTTCTTTGACGTCATTTAAGTAATTCTTTAAAATTATTGACGTCATTTCCGTTATTTTTTGTTGATATCGCTAGAAACGCTAGACGATGATATTGTTTTCAACTGGAAAATGACGGACACGCAAAAATTAGAAAATCGCTGGATCATAAATTAATGTTTGTGTAATTAGGGAATGACACCTACAAAAAACATTTAATAACATTTCACGATCATAAGACTTATTTAAAGTGTTTTAGTGGCATACAAAATTTAGTGATTGACATTACTTTGAGAAGCAGTAATGGTCATTGACTGCGTTACGATGAACCCGCTGGAGTGCGCCGTTATCGCCGACATGTGTTTATGTAACAGTCAAATGTGTTGTAATTATAGAAGCTACTTACATGAAATTTTTTCTGTGTTAATTTGTTATTACCCTTCTAGCCAGTGTAAGAATTTCAAATCTATATATAAAATATATTTTACTCAACACAGAAAGTCCACGAATCGGATAACCCCTCGTGTATGTCAATAAAATTGAATTGAATCTTACCCAGATTTGGCAAAACTAGTCCACATTTTTATCATTTCTCTTGATAATTGGTAATCCGAAGGTTTGATAATATTGACAGTAAAATTCCAATACTTTAAAATGTTGTCTGCAAACCCAAAGACAAAGGGAATTTCATCAGAGTGACAGGCAACATGTGGACCCTCAAGTGGGGGAGCTATAGGTACAATACTTTTCGGTGGTTTTGCCGAAAACTGATACACATAAGTCGAGGTTTTGGCATTCACATGTGATTTCGCGGTAGATATAGAATGTGCATTAAGGAGGGAATCCGTTAAAATATCCAATGTATTTTGCAAACGCTTAGTCATATTGTATGGGTCTTCCCAATCAGTATATTGGAAAATGGTCATATCCGATGACAGCTTTGTTGGTATTTCGCCAAGAAATCCTTCAATTACTCTCGGAACAATGATATCATTAAACTGATGCTTTGAAATGTTATAGCTAATAAACGTTGGTGTTGTATTGTTTATATATAACATAAACAAGTCCTGGTACACAGCACCGTCAAAATTATTTGCCCCGATCATTAAATCTATCTCCCAAAAGTTTGCATATTTTAATCTGTATTGAGGATCAGAAAGTTCCGATAAAATATCATAGGTTTCAGAAACCACAAAATCATTATCATAAACAGGAGCCCAGGTCATATTTACTTCATTAAATGAGCGCATTTGTAGAGCAGCTGAAATAACTTCTGCCTCTGGCTTACTTTTCAAACATAACGAAACATTAGAAAGGTCGCTGCACCCGAGCGATTCTGCAAACTTAATTGAGTGTTCGTAATTTGCATTGCCATGTGTAACGGCCCAAGCAGCAATTGTACCACTTTCAGCTATGGTCCTTTGGAATAAACATTTATTCCCAAGATATATCATCTGGTAGATCACACTGCTGGAACCCGCTGATTCTCCAAATATCGTTATATTATCTCTATCACCTCCAAAGTTTGCAATGTTCTCATTCACCCACCGTATAGCTAAATGTTGGTCCCACAATCCATAGTTCCCTTTCGCCATAGTGTTGTGAGTGCTGAAAAATCCTAAAACACCAAGTCTGTAATTAAGTGTTACAACAATAACGTCACTGAGAGCGCTGATGACGCCGCCTCCATAAATGTCGCTATATCCCTCAAAAAATCCGCCACCATGGATCCAAATCATGACTGCCTTTGGTTTGGTTGTAGCACCGGAAGAACTTGGTGTAAAAATGTTTAGATAAAGGCAGTCCTCAGACATGGTATCAAGTTCGAGTTTATTTTGAGGACATCGTAACGAATATTTGAAAGCCTTAAACGGTGAAGGAAGTGTGGCCTTCATGACAGGCTTTTCAAAACGTAAATGTCCTGTCGGTGGTTCAGCATATGGTATTCCAAGATATGTCTGCACTTGAAAACTCTGATTTTCAAATTTTATGTGATCAGTAAAGCCAATTATCTCACCATATTTCGTTGTAGCTACTACATGCCTTGCATTTTGTTCAGACGCGACATCCTTATTTCCAAACAGGAATACTAAAATGATATCTACAATCCATTTTAAATACATATTAGAATTATGTATATCTGTAGTATATTTACTATCTCAATCAAACTAAATTAACATATGAACATGAATGTCATATCTATATACTTGACCTACTTATAAGATCGTGACCTTTTCAGATATCTCATTCAATATCCCTTAAATTTTGCTTACTATCTTGTTATAGGTCAGGCGGAGTTTACCTTTTATCTACGCTTATTTATGTGCAATATTGTTAACAATTATGTTTTCGTTTTCTGTTACAATATTTGACTTCCTACCTTCAACTATATGTTTTACAAATATGTTGCTGTGTTTAAGGATCTATACATACATAAATAAACAATTTTCTGTGATTTGACAGCCATAACAATCATTTATACACATAAGAGCTGGCGACAAGCTTCTCAGAAATAATAATCGCTTACAAAAGAAATCTACTGAAATCACTTTTTATAGCTTAGTGATACGTATGTCAAAAACAGGACTGTAACCGATTAAGTCTGAACGATTTGATAATTGAATGATAGTCTGTAACTATATTCTATTAGTAACCGACCACTGTAAATGAAGTTGTAAAATATATTCATCATTTTATTTAAAAATTTGATGAACACGATTTTGATTTAAAATTGTCGCTTACCAAATAATATGCTTTTTATGAAAACTCGATATACATGGATGTCAATGCTTTATTAGGGTACAAATTATAATAAAAGATATAGCGATTTTACGGATGATAATTTGAAATGAAATTAAGTGAATGGATGAATGAAATGATGAATGAATGGGAAACGAACGGATAAACCATAATACAAACCGACGTCGGTTGATGCAAAATTTGCAGGAATAGGTGTTTTTATATTTGATACTTATATTTGAAGTGGCGGCATGGCCGAGTGGTTAACGCATCGGACTAGTAATCTTATGATCGCTAGCCGCATGGGTTCAAACCCCGTCAGGGGCAATCGTTGTTTCCATGAGCAAAAAACTTTACACTTATTGCTCAGTACTGGTTGATTCCAGGAACGGATTCGAAAGTGTGTCTATAAGCTTATAGCTTCCTACAGAGTCGATTCAAAATAAATTATGTATAAACCAAATATATAGATATGTCGGCATCAGTTTCAGCCAAAAATTTATAAAGTATTTAGTAAAAAATAACATAAATTGTTCTGAAATCATACAAATGTTAAATTAATGTAGATCTTCAACAGATCTATTATTATCGTATTGACTTTATATCTTCTGTTGAAAATGAAGTTGAAAATGTAAGCATATTGATTAAATTAGTACATTCTATTATATTAATAAATATTTTTTCTTCATTGGGTTTAGAAACAAGAACAACAAATAGATTGATATTGATAACAAATATTCTCTTTGTTTCCTTCCGTCTGCTCGTACAATAGCGTATATGCAATAAAGTAACTTCTGCAGATGTTCTGAAATTCATAATTTTACCATTGTTATGTATAAATGTTGAATTCTGCTTAAGCAGGTGCTAGGGGGCATGGACAGTATCATCCACGAACTGACTTAATCAAACCTAGCCTCCAACATTTTCAATTTTGTTGTTTTGGACAAGTTTTAGGAAATTTTATTTTCTCAATTCTAACAACTAATTATATACATTGATATTCTGTATGGTTTTGTGGTATTATTATTAACTCTCAGATCGATATTTCAGTGTCAAGTCTTTAAAACCCTATGATGGATGTCATAGAGCTGACTGCTAAAAAGACGAATTATTTAGTTTTACTTGAGACAACATCAAGAAATGCTTAATTAAAAAGGAAATAAGTTAATAAAATATTATTTTACATATAAACAAATCTAAGTGGCATTTTGAGTGTTTATTACAATAATTATTATTCTTTTATTTGTGTTGTAGACTAGGTAACATCACTATGTTTTTATTTGCATACGGGCTGACATTTTTACTTATTGGAGTTATTCAAAGTTTTTGTTTCATAATAACTAACACAATCACTTGACCTCTCAAAGTGACCTTAGGCTTACTTGTTCGCAGCCGAGTTAAGCTAACTCACTTGTTCGCTGCCGAGTTGAGCTAACTTGGCTTTATAACTTTTAAACATTCACTTTTATAGTGGTCATTGACCAAAAACTTTTGATAATAAAAACCGTTGACAAAGAATAAAATACAATTGCCTGACGTGTTGGTAAAGGCTTAAGTTATTTTGACGTTGAACCTTACATCTATATCGTTCACTATTTACAATTAAATGGGCATATTTTAACGTTACATTTACGATTCGCAAAAGCAGTTGTTATCGAATTTTTAATTCATGCTTAGTATGACGTAATTTTAACGTTGTGACTGAAGTTGTTGTAAGGAAAAAGTTACGGGTGAAATGAAATTAAATACCATTGAAAATTGTTTATTTTTTGGATAAAGAGTTTAAGATATAATGGAATATTTTGGAATATGCAAGAAAAAAATATCTTACATATATTTGCGGCTCAGCTCAAAAAAATTATCCCCTGTGAACATTGGCCGTAACCGGAAAGTCTCCTTAACGCCCAATGGGCGGGTCCACTCGAACGACTATTCCGATCTGAACCGCACCATATGACATACACTATTATGATTGCTATTCTTGTCTTCTGTTTAAAATTATTTTTTTATTGACATGAGTGCAGTTACAAAATTGAAACAAATTTATGAGCACAGTTCATGATGAAGAATTGTGCCACAAATTAAACTCATCTTATATTTGTTTCTTAATGCATTTTTTCAAATAAAACGATGTTATATATCACGCAATGTAAAGATTTATTGCACTGATATAACGAAAAAAGAAAATGCATCTCTCTATTTTCTTAAATTTATTCTAAAGCAATCCGTCACTATGCTTTAGGATGATTTGGGGCAATTTAATAATAAAAATACTAAACTTTATCTTAATATTATAATAATAACAATGTGACACACACTGAGTAAAGGTGAGATTAAATAAGCGCTAAAATATTAGCGTTATTTAACAGAATGCCAGGTTTTTATACGTTAGTCGTATATGTGATAAATTAAAGTTTCATCTCTAAAATCGATTGAATGTGTTTGTTAAAAGGATCGCATAATATAATTCTAAATTCAGTATTTAACCATCTCTCATTTGATATCCTCTATGACATGTACATATATCGTCATTGATTTGTTCCACTCAAATTTTATTATTACAACCAGCATTTTTAATGTGATCATGTATTTTAAAGTCAATCACAATCCTAGCTGTATCATGCAAATAATATCTTATTTAAGATATATTCAATATCTTAAGATGAAGTTGTTTGTGATTGATGTCCTGTGTATCCATAACTATGCGTGGTCGTTGAAGTTATCGTATTTCGTTATTAGTTTTGTTTATCTATGCTTCTTAAGTTGACACTATCTGACAATACATGGTTTGATAAGATAAATTATTATAGTTGTTTCAAACCTTAACTTACAATATATTACCTAGAGGGCTCGAATGAGACATTCACATAAATAAAAACATTGATACATTCGAGCAAGGCAACAATTAACATTGAATAGTTTTATTATTATCTTACCATTCATCGACATGTTACTGTTTTGAACGTTTCTACCTAATACATAAGAATGAATAAATAAATGGATGCATTTTCCTGTATTCTATTTGTTGCTTTTATTAGGAATATTATTTAATTAGTATATTCTCCTGTGATAAATAACCTAGCTATGAGTTGGGAAATAGAAAACGTGTTGTGTGACTTTGGTTCTCTTTTATACAGACCAACGTAAAAATATAAAGTAAATATATGTTAGAATATCGTTGAAACAAAACTAAAAAATAGAGGAGATTATCGAAAACTTATCTTTATTATAGTAAACATGATGTCAATATGCTACAAATACTTTGAAATTCTTGTTTACGCCCAATTTATGTTTCTGTTAGTTGTAACTAATTTAACATCATATCCACCGTTTCCTTTAATCGCATTTTCGTAATGGAGGATCATTTACATATTTTGGATTTACCAAATTGAATATGCAATATATTTGACAATGATTTATTCAAAAACAAATATTGTAACTATGATGTGTTCTTTAATATGCAGGTATTTTGTTTTTAAAGATAATATCAATATTTAAGCTTGTAGGAAATAAGTGGTTAGTGATTTTAATTCGGGTTCAGATTAATAAGATCCTTACAAGAATGATCCTAGTAAAAAGAAATCATTATTTTATGATTTCAGTTAACACATAGAAAGAGCATTTCAATTTTGTAACTGCAATGAAACAGGAAACCTTTAAACCCGATACATATACTAATTTCTTCTCTAGCAAAAACGCTCGTTTAGGTTTCAGAAAGCATATCATAAGCATGAGTCAAAGCATACTTACTTCATAAATGAGTGCATTTCTAGACAACGTGGAATAAGTCCAGCCACTGGCTTACTTTTTAAACAAAATGAGATATTAAAATGATGAACATTCAACTTCAAATCAATTGAGTATTCATAATTTGCATTGCCATGAGTCAAGGCCTAATCAGCAGTTATACCACTTTCAGCTATGTGTTTATGGAATAGAATCTATTACATGGATATATCATCAACTTAGTTACATTGCATGAATCCGCTGATTCCAGAAACATCGTTATATTATCTATACCATCTACTTAAAGTTTGGTTATACGTTTGTCAAAAACAGGACTGTAGTCAATTTAGACTGAACGATTTGATAATTGAATGTCAGTCTGTAAACGTGTTTCAATTAGTAACCCTCAATATTCGTTACGTATTAAGATGTTATAGAGTACTGCCATTTTAACGAAAGTGTATTATCAATAGTTCTTTGCAGTTGACCTTCCAATATATAAATACTTGGGTCCAAGATGAAACCACCATACTTGAATACATAACCATATATGAATATTTTAATACATAACCATATATGAACAGCACATAGACGGATTGCCCCCGTGAGATAATAACGCAAACGGTTATTTCCTCTTCTCTCGGCAGACAAATTATTCTAATACAATTTGGTAAATTCTATTGCTAAAAATGTCTCTCCCAGAACTCAACCTAGTCACTAAAAGTGGCTTTGTTGCTGTTA